ATCTATACCACAGGAGCATGCTTACACTGACATACTGGCAATTTACACTATCCATTATCTATACCACAGGACCATGCTTACACTGACTTACTGGCAATATACACTATCCATTATCTATACTATATATATCTATTTTGCACGTTTAAAAACTTTTCTGCACTATTGGAAATTGCTATTGGAAATTTTGATTTTTTCACCCCACCCCAGTATATATTAGGCATGAAACCTCCATTATTATTAAAACCGCCATCGTTGTTATGATTCAATTCCAGTTTTGGTCACTGATAAAAACAGCTGTTTATAGATTTATTCTGATTAATTGTAATGCATTCCTACGATGCGTACATATTTAAAAAGATATACGTTTTATTCTAGCCAAATGTGCGATGTACCTGTTTTTGTTGCTGCAGGGTGATGCACGACGAAGTTAGCGACACTGAGAATATCCGCAAGAATCTGGCCATCGAGCGCATGATCGTAGAGGGCTGCGACATCCTGCTGGACACCAGCCAGACGTTCGTCCGCCAAGGTGCACTCCAGAGACGAAGCGTCTGGAAGTAGTATTTCATTGTGGTTTGATGGTTCACTTTCATAAGATGCACATCCATGTTGCAGCTGGGAATGGTGTATTATGTAAGAAAATGACACAAACAAATTTTAGCGACATCCAGACACTTTAAAAACAGTTTGAAATGCATTGAAAATGAAACTCAATGCTAGGATCTTGTTTACTTGATTTTGTGTTCAGTTATTAATTGTATTTCATGCTTTGAAATGTTTGTAAAATCAAACACATCCTATTCATGCAGCCAATCGCATAGCTTCTGTTTTTTTCACTGTGACCTCTGTGGGAGCCAGTCTCCCTCGTGGGATTTTTTAGTTCAGTTCTTTTCCGTTTTCCACCTGCACTTTTCTCCTCTACTCTTTTCGTCTCACCATGTTCCTCTCACTCCCCATATTCTCTTGTCCTTATTTCCATGTTCATCGCACTCCGCATATGTACTTCTCCTTATGTCCCATGTTCTCTCTCCATATTTCCCTCTGTTGATGTTCCTCTTTCTCATCATCTTTCTGACTCCCCATATTTCCCTTCCCTTATCTTCCACCTTCCTCTCACTCCCCATATTCCTCTCTCCTTATGTTCCATCTCCCTCATACTCCTCATTTTCCCCTCTCCTTATGTTCCATCCTCTTCACATTCCCCATATTCCCCTCTCCTTATGTTCCATCTTCCTCTCACTCCTCATATTCCCCTCTCCTTATGTTCCATCTTATTCACATTCCCCATATTCCCCTCTCCTTATGTTACATCTTCCTCTAACTCCCCATATTCCTCTCTCCTTATGTTCCATCTTCTTTACATTCCCCATATTCCTCTCTCCTTATGTTCCATCTCCCTCATACTCCCCATATTCCCCTCTCCTTATGTTCCTCTTTCTCACTATGTACCATTGACTCTTTCCCTGCCTCCTGTCAGGCTCGCTGATCCAGCTTCCCTCGGTAGAACGGGGAAAGCTTAGCAAAGTGCGCCTCGGCTCACTCACCCAGAAAAAGGAGGCAGAGAGGCAGTGCTTCCTGTTCACCAAGCATTTCCTCATCTGCACTCGCAGCTCAGGGGGCAAGCTACACCTGCTGAAGGTGAGTTGTGTGCCAGCACATGTTCTGTGAGGCTGAATGGCTTGTGGCTCTGCTGTGTGTATAACTCTGTCCCTGTAATTGGAAGGTCACCGCTTCAAATCCCATATCTGGCTGAGTGGTTTTGCGATTGGGCCCCTGAGCATATTGCTCCAGGGACACATTGTGACCCTGCTTTATCACACGGATGTTCTGCTAAATGAATGTGTCTATTTAGCCCCTTTTACAGTGGCCAAGATTGGTAGTCTTCTCCTTGGTTTGTTGCGAAAAGGAAGAAAAAAAAAATCATTTTTTGAGGCACACAGTATCTCAGTGAAAAAAAACTGGATTTAATCCAATGGTGAATCAAACTTCTCCAGCGAGTTGGAGGCTGTTTTGGCTGTGGGTGGGGGTGCAGCACAGTGTTCTCCATTCAGACCTTCTGCCCTCCATCTATCACCCTGAGTCTGAAACGATCCCCCTCCTTCTCTCCATCTGCCCCTTCTTCATCCTCCTCACTTCCTGTATTATCTGTGCAGCTGAATCTTACAATCTGGATCTGATTACTGGGATACATTGAGACTTTTTTTTCAGAATTAAAACAAATATAACGACCTCGCGGTCTTTGTGACATATTGCTGCTCCAAACATTGTTCCAGGACATCCATTGTGCATCTGGAAAACTTTTATGTAATACTCTGTACATATTTCTAATTGACATATTTGTTGAAGATGAAAAAAGGCCCATGGTCATCAGTATTACACATGAGTATCTAGTTTCTGGCTCCCAAGAAGAAAATAAAACTCAGTCCTCTTTTAAATGACTTTCTGCTAGGTGCAGACATTTTCATTTCAAAAGATGAAACCTGAAAAGATCACATTCTCTGTATTACTCAGTACCGCAATATGTGCATTATTAAGAAAATGTCAATAAAACATATATTAGCATATATGGTTTATATATATATAAATATATATAAATAAATAAATAAAATATAATGCTTCATAATACTTCATTTTGCAGTGATCACATATACATATATGTGTGTATGTGTGAGTGTGAGTGTGATCACTGCAAAATGAAGCATTTGAGACCCTCGGATCCATTCTGTCCAATTGCTTGTGCTCCCACAGCAAGGCGGGGCTCTGTCTCTCATCGACTGCACGCTCATTGAGGAGCCTGATGCCAGTGATGAGGAACGTGAGTGTAAAATGGGCCAATTAACTAGCAAATTATCAAACCATACAAAAATATATTAGACACTGGATTTATGTGGGATGTTTTTTTTTCACTATAAAATATGTTTTTCCACGAAAATGAAAATGGTTAAGTGAAAATGAAAATGGCGGATGAGTCTTGTTTGTTTAGTTCCAGGCTAGTATACATCGTATTCCTTGAATAACTAAAAAAGCACCATACCCTATCTCATGCCGATTCAGCCAACTCCACGGGGCAGGTGTTCTGCCACCTAGAGTTCAAGATCGTGGTGGAGACGCCGGATGGCCTTGCCTTCACGGTGGTCCTGCTGGCTCCGTCTCGTCAGGAGAAGGCGGCTTGGACCAGCGACATCAGCCAGGTGGGGCGTCCTGTTTGCAGAAGAGCTCACCTCCGAAGGGGGTGTCGTCCGTCCGCCTGGCCGGGTGATTCAGAAGCAATTGAAATGTAGTTTCTACTGCCTGCTAGACTGTAACTCTTTTGGAGAAGATTGGTCCATTCATTATTTAGTCCAGTTTGGTCTATTATTTCGGTCTATTTGTTAAAGCGGGTATGGAAATGCATCCGGTTTCGTATGTAGACAATTCTGCTTAACATTTCTCCTGGGTTTAAAAAAACTGAACTTTGCATTATTCTTCTTGAAGTTTGATCTATGTTTTATCTGTATTTATTATGAATATGAACATGACTTAACAAGACTTGGGAGTGAACTGTCAGATTTCCGGAAATGTCAGGCCAACTAGAGCGTCTGCCTGAGTAGACAAATGAGATATCAGGGGAATTGCTGTTTGATAGGATGGTAAACAGTGATATTTGTCATTATTTCTAGTCGATATCCTAATTTTGCTGACTAAGGTACAGAGAACGGTCTATACAGACTAACAGCTCTAACAACATCGTTCAGGTTCAGTTTGGGAATTAGTCAGATACAGAAGGGTTGTGTATATATGGAAGCATTGCACACAAAGAAATATTGAATATCTGTTATCATTTATGATGTTTGAGTATTTACTAAACAGCTAATATTGTCAGCAGCTGGTTTAAAAGAAATTATTTTAAGCTAGCCTTGATATGGCTAAACGAAGACTAAAACATATTCACAGTTCTATGGCACCATTGATGCATTCCCGTTATATAATTTTTTTGTTTATAATGTCATTATGTACAGTGCAACATGTACAAAGCTTATAGTTTTACATAGATGGATGTTCACTGAAGTAGCAAAAGGCTTTAAATTTGATCAGTTTACTGTTTTTGTTCTGTTTTAATTTTCTAAGGTACTATATGAAGATTATATGTAGGGATATATGTATGGATGGGGAGTTTGTTTAGAGGGATTTTCCATTAAAAGCTACTTTCATCTCTCAAAACTTTTACAATCTGCTGTGCTACTAGTTGCTGTTAAAAGCGTAAAGTGCTTCCAGACTGTCACCCCCTTATCTGCTGTTTTTACGCTTCTCTTGCTGAAAAGGGGCATGCGTGTGACGTCACAGCAGGCGGAGTCACTGTGCTCACCCACTGAGTGGCAGCATTAGCGTTCAGCTCGAATGCCGCAAAAAACACGAATAAACTGGGAATGAGCTGTTGTGCGATTGACTGTACGAATTGACGTAACAAGAAATAGGAGCTATCTTTTTAGAGACTGCCGAAAACTAAATAGGTATCGGACGTGGATCGGTCACGTATGGCCGGTACCCCATCCGTTAAATAGGTCTGGATCGGTGCCAGTATTCAAATCAGTGCATCTCTAGTTATATGCCATATTATATAATCTTGGCTGCCATTTTGAGGAAGTTTTCAGTGTTGCTGTTAATTGACAGACATGAGGTACATTATTGTTAAAAATAACCATTGTATTGTACTAGCAGTTCAGGATTAATAGGTCGTGGTGGGAGGACTCTTTCTAAAACTCTTTTTAAGACGTGCCTGCATCCTGTTTAATACACTGATACTCGCATTCTTCACTTCCTTGCAGTGCATCGACAACATCCGGTGCAATGGCCTGATGACTAGTGTGTTTGAGGAGAATTCCAAGGTCCCAGTACCTCACATGATCAGGTAAATGATGGTGGCTGTCTGGTGTCTCTTTGGAGTTCTTAAGTTCCATATTCCGTGGAGAACAGAGATAGGTTCACTACACTGGTATCTCGTAACCACTCGCCAGTATATGCCTTATCCAGTAGGTACTGGATGTATGGATTTTGGACCGATTGAATTGCTATAAAGTGGTAGATCACATTATTTAAATCCTTGCTTTTAATTTCAATGAAATATGTTTTTAAACCTTTAATTAATTGGATAGCAGAATGTAAGCAACATGTGAGCATACATTAACATCCTAACATAATTGTATAATGTTTGTAATTTATATAGATTAAAGCTGTTAAGGGATGTTAAGGTATGTTAGGCTGTTAAGGTATACTAACATGCTCCCTAAGAATGTTCTATGAATGCATTATGAAGGTGCACTGAATGTTCTATCAATGTGGTATGAATGCATTATGAAGGTGCCGTTAATGTAAAGCGTTACCTATAATTGTGCAGTACAAGAAGAATGGATGAATATGTTAACGGAAGCATTGTTTTTCCATGTCTTGTATTGTCCTGTGTTGGTTTTTCAAAACCATTTTGATAGCTTGTGTATGGATGTGTATTGTTTTATAAATATCGTGATAACAGCTCTTATCCTTGTTTGTTAGATGCGACCATGTTTGTCTAGTTTTGTCTGGTGCGTCTCCTGGCTGGATATCACTGTGTCTTTTGTACCAGACTTTTCCGTGTTGCCTGTCAGACTCACCTAAAGCCTTTACCCGCAATAGAGAGTCCTCCCACAGCCCAGTCACAGGCCGCTTGGTTGTGCTCTTCATTAGATCCGATGCGCGTCTCCATAAAGATGATGTTGACATTTGCTTCAGCAAGACGCTCAACTCCTGCAAGGTTCCCCAGATCCGCTACGCCAGCGTGGAGCGCCTACTCGAGAGGCTGACCGACCTCCGCTTCCTCTCCATCGACTTCCTCAACACTTTCCTGCACACGTACCGCATCTTCACTGCTGCCGCTGTGGTCATGGATAAGCTGGCAGACATCTACAAAAAGCCCTTCACGTCCATCCCAGTCAGGTGAGAGCGGTTTACCCAAACTGCCCACCAAGGTCAAATCCAGCACTTCTCATTCCTCTTGGCCAAGAAGGGTCAAACCACCTTCCAGTCAGGGAGCAGGAAACTACCTTTTACAGCTCACAATTTCGTTTACATTAAGGGTAGGTCACACGCTGCTGCGGAAAAAAATGAGACCATTCTATATTTTTAAACATCTGCATTTTTAAATACTGGTTTAATTGTGGTTCTGCTAGACAAGAATAAGGTGAAGCAGGAGACACTGGGAAGGACCAGAAACCAGCCAGGTAAAGGGCGGAAGCGACATTCTAATGCCAGAGGCGACTACCAACTTATCCAACAGTGTCTCATGAATCGGAGGATGGCATCAAGTGACCTTCAAAAGGAATAGGAAACATTAAGTGCAGGTGTGAGGTGCACTGCTAGGACCGTTTGTATCAGGCTTCCAGAAGTAGCACTGAAGTCCCATAAAACAAGATGAAATTAATGAGAAACAGAGAATAACCAGGCTGCAGTTTAGTTAGTTAAACAAAAAAATATGCTGTGGTCTCTTAATTTTCTCTGTGACTGTATATTCCTTATCCCCGAGTAACCAAAGCAGGTGGGTCCCTAAACCCCATCCAAGACACTGATTTGTATAGCGTTTTACCATGTATATCCGAAGCTACTGTTTTATTCCATGGTCTAGTGGTGGGCCATATGGCAATATTTTATTGTAACCAGTTACAATTCTATCCACGATACGCATTTCAGAGGTACCATTACAATCAGAATGCAACGCTACATTTACATTTACTTTAATTTGGCAGATGCTTTTGTCCAAAGTGACATACAAGCTAAATAGCACATTACAAACATATGTGCTGTTGAGGAATCAACTGAGCTTGGCTTCAAAATGAATGCCTAGTTACAAACACACTACTTAACACTGTTATTATAATGACAGAACAAACGGCAAATGCCTGTCATGGGATGTTTGCGTGTTTGGAGGCTGCAACAGTACTACGACAGAAACAGACCAATGTGAAACAAAGCCATTTCAGCTTGCATAGTACTGTCTGTGTATCTCACTTCTTTGTCAATTATCTGTCTCATTGGACTAGATCTTGAACTAAAAACTTAACTGATCCCTTTTGATCAGTTAGCTGACTTTGAGGGAAAAACAAACTTTATATACCATTGAACTCAGTTTGTGGTAAACTGAGTTCAGAAGTTATTGACCGAATTGATAAATGTTCATTGGTATACAAAACCTTTGAAACTTTAATATAAAAGTTAGAAAGCCCTTCTCCTACAATTCTTTCAATGAGTTTCTTTTATATATACAGTATTTTACAAACCTTAATAATTAAGTTAATTATTACAGTGCTACCCGCAGTGCTTTTGTAAGGATAGTCTTGCTGGTTAAATGGCTAATTTGAATTAGTACTAAAAAAATGTGATGTGATGTATATCATGGGTCACAATTAAAACCAAAAATACTGTGATTTGTCATTTTGACTATATCTCCCACCTCTATCTATCTATCTATCTATCTATCTATCTATCTATCTATCTATCTATCTATCTATCTATCTATCTATCTATCTGTTTATTTATTTGTTTACTTATTTGTTTGTTTATTTTTTGTCATATTATATTTAGGATTTTTTATTTTATTTTGCCTTAAAATGCTTGAACCACTCTTATGCAGTCAACTTTTGGTCTATTAGTATCTGTTTTTATATATTATTGGTCTACTTTCTCACTGTGCTGCTGTTTTCCAGTCATGTACTGTACCATAGTTATAAAATATCTTGCAGGACATCTGCCTAATGTTTTGGTCTCAATATACTTCATTTTTACTTTTGTTTGCACCATTCAAAGGAGCTCTGCTCTCCACTTCCACCTACACATAGAGCATGCAGTACTAAACTAGTTTCTACATTTTATGTGTATGACTTTACTGTTTCCTGTTTTCTATTACCTGTTTCTTGTATACTCTTTCCAGTTTCCTGTTTTTCTATTCTATTCTATTCTATTCTATTCTATTCTATTCTATTCTATTCTAATTCTCTTCCCGTGTGTCTTTCTTTGCTCTTCACTTTCATATTCTGACTTATTGTAAAATACCTTCCCCCATCACAGGTCCCTGGAACTCTTCTTCGCCACCAGTCAGAGTGGGAGGAGTGGGGAGCTGCAGAACGACAAGTCCCCCCACCTGTGTCGGAAGTTCTCGTCGCCCCCGCCCCTCTCCATCCCCCCCCGCGCCGTGTCCCCGGTCCATGCTCGCAAACTGTCGCTCAGCTCTCCGGTGGGGGCCAAGACGGGGGCGCTGGACCTGTCCACCTCCACCCCCGCCTCCAGCGCCAGCAGTCCCACGTCGGCCCAGCCATCGGACACTTCGTCTCCCCCAGCTGGCACCAAGGTCCCCTTGGACCTGAGCCGGGGACCCCCCTCACCCGAGCATGGCCCCGTCACCCTGGAAGAGGGTGGAGAGGTTCCCCGCATTGATGCGCCCGGGGGTAAACTGCGCTGGAACATTCGCAGGAGTAAGTTTGGAGAACCGGAGATTGTTCCCTCCCCGTGTCTTTTTTTATGCGCAATGGGCGTAAACGTTGATGGCTTTAAGTCACAAACAATGAACGTTTCGGCGTCTGCCAATGACAGGTTGACGTATCTGCTAATGTCACCAAATAAAAGAGCCAGAGATACAGGCTGTTTTCTCTATAAAATGTATTCATCTGCTCATTTTCAGGAGCTGAAGCACCTCAGGACGCGAATCTTTCCCAAGAGCCGTCCTACAGTATTATACGGGTCACATATACAGTACTGTACAAAAGTTGAAGTCATTCAAAGGAACGTGTGTAGTACATGTGTATTTGCTAAAAAAAAAAAAAAAGCACAATTTAACACTGTAATAAATGCGAATGATCAGTAGCATAATGTTTGTTCGCTTCTCCAAAACTAGATAGGTGAGATGAATACTGCTTTTTACCAAATTTTTCCTCAGGGCCACCCCAACCATTCCATGTATTTGTTATACCACCATCTGACTTATTTAATTAACTTATTTAGTGAAATAGCATAGTGAGGTATTGATTGGCCAGGCATGGTATGATAGTGACTAAGTCAACAAAAACATGGGTATGTTGGATGGGTAGTGGAAGTACTGGATGTGACTTTAGCAGAGGTTTTGAAATGGCTAAGCTAACACACTTTGACAGACATAAAATCATGGTTTTATAGCAACATAAACATCAATTAAACATAATTGTCTTGACAGCCAAAGACTTTTGCACTATATTTCCACTTGTAGTGGACGTGGATTGTGCTATCCACACACTTCTAAGAGTTAACGTTTTTAATAGCTAATGTTGTGTTCACATGTAATCTTAGGTCACCATCAGGGTTCTTCATCTGGAGGTATCACCACACGTACGTTCCAAAGAAAAGCACTATGTGGACATCGGCACAGGAACTTGTCTACGATTTTCGCCCCCACACAGAATGGCATCTTTGTGGTCTCTTGTGGTCCTGAGGAAACACAAAGACTAAGACTAAGTCAGTGAATAAACTGGGACAGTTTCTCTCACTGACACGCTGATTAAAAGCAACTAGCAACATCGTTAACCCTGAGGAAAGTGTTACTGGAGCTGTCTTCATGTTCTTTACTGAGGCTTATCATCTCATTAATAATAATTTGGGTAATATTTTTGCCTGTTTTTGTAACTATACTATTTGGCCACTGACTTGGGGTGGTGGTGGTGAAGTATATAGACTATATTATGCCAATGTTGGGGAAGAGAGATTAACCCTCACAAAACCAGGCCAATTCCTGAACTTCCCGATGGAAAACTGTCCTGCTCTACTCTTGATCATTTGGGTTACACACGTTGTCTGTTACTCACATGTGACCATAAATAATGTGTCCCGTACCATTAGTGAAGTGCTTAAGCAGGCATGTGGAATAAAATCTGCAAATCCACAAGTCAAAGTCTCAATCCAGATGTGACCGAAGGTTGATGAGTCTCAATATTCTGACCTTTTTGACAGCGGTGCTAGAGTCTGTGTCAATGGACAAGTTCATCCCAGAGACACCCCCAGTGAATGAGCCAGGAGACATGTCCCCATGCCGATCGCCTTCCACCCCCCGCCACCTCGCTCGCTACAGACAGCCTGGAGGTACGTCCATCTCTGCCATCCAGACCTATGGAGAAACCTATGGAGAATGGCCTTTCATCATCCAGGTGTTTCGCATGCCGATTAGTTATGGAGGGAAGTTCTGGGAAATGCAATACAAGCAGATTAACTGATTTGCTGTCCATCATATTTCTGCTGGCTGACCTTCAGAACAGCAGGACACTTAACAACTTTTCTTCTTTAAATTTCAATGTTAAAGACGTTACGCAATTAGAAAATTGCTGTTAGTCAAAAGGCTTACCGAACAATTAACAATGTCAACAGTACTGTAGTAAGATTGTAATTCATAAACCAAAAGGAAAATAATTCATTTAAATGAGGATTCTGGATTAACTGAATAACAGAACTAGGTAAACAGCCTCCATTTTCTGCTGTCGAGTTTAATATGTCATAAAATCCCTCTGGAGACAGGAATTGAATTTAATGAGCTGAATGAATCCTGCAGCCGTTCTTCCTCCTTGTATAAGTATTGACCTTGCAGGCAGTCTGTCCACAAAGATGTAACAATGAGCATCTTTGCTGGCCTTGAGTCAGTTTAGCATTTGTTAGATCAAGTCGCAGAGTTGAATTTGGGGGACACATTATTTACATATCTGACTGAGATGTTTTCTGTCCTGACCTTATATGTCTGTCTATCTCTCTGTCTGTCTGTCTCGCTCTCTTTATACATTGTTTACATATATTTATGCACTATTATGTATATACACCATTTAACTATTGTGACACCCTCCCTTGGTCCCTTGCCATTATCTCGAGCCACTGGATACCTGTATATGAGTGGTATGACAATGGTATACATTGACATAAACCCAAATATGAAATGATTTTAAGTGGTATGAAGTGGTATTTGTGTTTAAGGTCCTCTTTTTATTTGTGTATTGATGTCCGTTGTTCTCTAGTCCAATCAGCTGAGAGCCCCCGCTTCTCTGTGTCCCCCACCTCAGCTTTTGCCATTGCCACAGCCGCAGCTGGCCACAGCAGCCCCCCCGGTGAGCCCCTATGGAGGGTGGGGGGAATTATTTTTATGTAGTGAACTTCCCTGGCAGATCCTTCGCAGGAACTTTAATTGCAATTGCATATACGATTACACAACTATAATTATACAATTGTATCTGTTTATGCAGCTGTGGATTAATCTTTACTTAAATGACAGACACCCAACATTTTAGTTCTGTTTAAGAGTATTTTATTTAATGACTTGAATTAATCTGAAAAATTTCCCCCACAGCAGTGGAAGAAAGTTTGCTCCATCATAAATAAATATCTGAACCTGTATACACATGTAGCATTTATTTTTATGGATCGGTGCTTACATTAAGTCTTTAACGTAAGCTTTTTCTGTGCGATCTTGGCATTGAAGGGTCTCCTGTGTGTACGTGTATGCCGGTCTCCTCCTTCAGGTTTCACAAACTCTGAGAGAACATGTGATAAAGACTTCATCATCCGCAGAGCTGCGACCAACCGGGTCCTGAACGTCCTCCGTCACTGGGTCTCTAAACACTCGCAGGTGCGTGCCGCCCTCATCGCTATAGAGAAAAGAGTATCTGGGTGGATTAGTATGATTCAATGGAATCAAAAGGTTGAGCTTGCAGGCTGTCTTTGTGTCTGAATCGTACATCAAGAGTATGGTAATATTCGTCATTTGTAACATTGAAACAGCAACATCAAAGAGCTATTAAAGTATGCCGCGATGTGATATCTAATAGTCAGTATGATTTATGGTCAGTCCCCTTACGGCTGGTTCATACTTCACGCAGACGCGGATGCACCATTGCGGTGAAGTAATTTTCGTTGCGAGGTTGGCCCCGAAGGCCACACAGGTGGGCCTCGTGAGAGAGTGTGTATCACTCAAATTTCCATTCGGTGACGCAAACGCGCCTCAATCATTCATTGGTCGGGGGAACAGGGTAAAAATAGCAAAAAGTCAGAAAGGGGATTGGACCAGAGATTGTATGTAAACACCTTTTCTACCCTCTCTGATCAAACTGAAAATGAGCATGGCTAGTAGATCTGAAGAGAGGTTGGCTGAAGAAGTCTGGAAATACAATTCATATGATTCCTAGTTAATGGATTATAAAGACTCACAGGTGGCTGCAGACTAAAATAAAATAGCTGTCTATGTCCCTGCCTCACTGTGATAATAGCTTTCATTTTTTAATTTAGTCTTTATCATGTTTTAAATTTTGCAGTTTTCATTTAAAATTTAATTGAGATTTAGTTAGCTTTCAATGTGGCTTTGTGCGTTTTATTTTAAAGATGTATTATCTATTTATATTTTAGTTTCAGTTTAAGTTTTAGTCATTTTAATTCTGGGGATAGACGGAAACTTGTACAGTGGTACCTCATAACTCGAACTTAATCCGTTCAGAACCCTGGATCGAATACTAAAAAGTTTGAGTTCTGGTCGAATTTTCCCCATAAGAAATAATGGAAAACCAATTAATTGGTTCTCGGCCCCAAAAAAATACATCGAAATATGTTTTTTTTTTTAGCATTTAAACACAAAATGAACCGGGTAAAATAAGAAGAGCATATACTGTACTAAACACATCTAAGCACATTTATCAAAACAGTAATTTTTAAAGTAAGAAAATAAATGTATCCCAACAATGTGTCCTGCCTCCATCGTCCGCTCCTTCCGTGTGCCACGCCCCCTCGTTAACCCCGTGTGGAATCCCCGTGTGATCAGCTGTTTCTGCTTGTTGTCATTAGTCCTCTGTATTTCGTCCACGTTTCAGTTTGTTTGCCCAGTCCGGTCATTGTATTGTCCGTCTGCGTTTTGCCTGCCTTACCTGTAATTAAACCCCGTATTCCCCAATACCCTGACGTCTGCGCCTTTGTCTCTGTTCTGTTCCGTCCCGTCCCCGCTCGGCAGGACAATATTATTATAATTAAATGTATTAATTTAGTTTATTATTAATATTAAAATAATAAGAAATATTTATTTTAAAATAGATTTTATTATATAATAATAATAATTACTGTTACTGTCTATCATTGTCTAAATGTATTTTTACTGTCTAAATATATGTATTCAGCTAGCGTAAACATGCACGGTGCTATCACAGCGAATGCGAGGCTGAGACTGAAGCGTTACCCTTTGTTTCAGCTGAGAGACGTGCCGCGTGAAGCGTGCAAGTTATCTTAGGTCGGCGTTCACGGTTTGACTTCTGAGATTTAGATCGAGTTCTGCATAATTTTTTTTCGAACTGGTTGGTTCGACTTTTAAGAAATTCAAGTTATATTGAGTTCGAGAACTGAGGTACCACTGTAGAACTTTGCTAGCTACTTGTAAAATGTTGTGATGTAATGTCGTTGGCTATTTCTGTGGTTCATTGCACGAGAGGCCAAAACATAACCAATTCACCACTTAGCTAAATAGCATTTAAATACGGTAATGAAAAGTGTTTATTTTTTATTAATTTATTTCAATTAGTTTAATAAACAATATACTTTTCATATAGTTTCTTATAGTTTTTCCTTTATTTTCATTGCTTATTTTAGTTTGATAAAAGGTTCATTAATGATAATAACACATACTTATGTATGCTTATTTAACCTTGCATACTGTAAGTGTATAACGTTTAACTAAAATTTGTATTTTTAATTTAACATCCATACCGCTCTTCATAAATGTGACTTAAGGGCATAATTTCTCTACGGCACTAACCCAGGCCTGATAGGCTCAGATGTGTGAATAATCAGGATCACGGAGGGTTTGGCACCGCGGCACTCGCACTGGGGCAGCTGAAGCCACAGGGAGTATGAATCAGGTCTTAGAAGTACTTAGGTGCCTGAAGCATTTTTCATAAAATGCGAGTGCGTGCGTGTCTGTGCCCTGCGATGGACTGGCATCCCATCCAGGCTTTAGTCCAGCCTTATGCTCTATGCTGCCCTAAGTATGTATAATGTCAGATTATATTTAGATCCAGATAACTTATGAATGCCATGCTTATGTCACTCCCATGGAAATAATCACATATTTATTAGAGTGAGCTTTCCTAAGAATGCACGCAGAAACTGATAGCATGTGCTTTACGTAACACCAAAAGACCAGGGCTTCGTATTTCGCAGTGCTTCTATTTTTTAAATTTTTCGTTATTTTCAGTTAAAGTATAGATTTTAATAGAACGGTGAATTTTGACATTTTTTTTACTATATTTTGGAATCGCGCCAGTTAATTGAGCGTGACGGTCATTTGAGTAATGGATACAAGAACTTTTCCTTGTAAACGTAATGTTCCGTCATTGATGATATCTGTTTTAGGCTACATGCGCAAGCCGCTGTAATCCTGGAAGACAGACAGCTCTGTGAAATGTCACCACTTTCCTGCAGGCACTGGGTGCTTATTAACATAATTTAGCAGCATATTACATATGTCCTGTTGTTCGGAGGCTTTAATGATTTGGCATTTTTACAGGAAGGTTATTTGCTGCTGAATATTATGGAAAGCTATTTTTCATCCACCTGCTGGGAGCACTGTGATTAAGCGCGTCTTGTTCATCTTATACGTGCAAAAAGGAACAATAAGCACAAAATACTCTAGTAGTGGACCTTTTTGTTCTTTTTAGTCACATTCCTGACTATGCAGCCAAGCATTCTTGATGTTCCAGAACCTTTATGACAAAACGTTGCATTAAGGTAGGTTATGCACATTGAATGTACCATTTTGTGTTTTTGAATAATTAAAAGAATGACAAAAACTGAAATTTTAAAGTACTTTTTAAGAATTTTAAGTCTCATAATCACCACAAAGGCTAAATGACATATGCTGTATAAAGAGCAGAATTGGACCATTCAGGTCCAGAGAGTAAAAGTCCAGACCGGGATTTTGTTTCAACCAAGCAGTTGAGCATAAAGAGTCACAGTCACAGAGTACTCAGCTGGTTCATTGAAACAAAATCCTGGTCTGGATTTTTACTCTCTGGACCTGAATTACCCAACTCTGATAAAGAGGTCAGGAGTTAGGAAGAATTTGTAAGAATCTGAAATGAAAAACATTTTTTATGTAGTGAGATGGAAATACAGCACTGTAACATATTACTGTGTGCCAGTGGGACTGTAAGTAAGAGTTTGTCTTATATACAGAACCGCGGAGTCATTCACAGGATATGTGGAGTTTAATTCCTGACCAGTAATAATCATCATCCTGCAGAGATTTGAATGGAGGTATATTTGATTCTTTTTCAAATGGGTTGAGCTTTACTGTCACTTAACTTTACTGTGAACCTTGCACAGTAACGACTGGCATTTTAAGCAGTTTGTGTCTGACAGCTTTCCCCATGAAATGCCACAGACTTGGGTTAAGATGCAGATGTCAGGCTCTGACTGCTGCCTTTAAACGTCAGCTGTTTAGGGTGACGACCATTTTCCTGCTCTGCTTTAGCTATTGCAGTACTTCACCATATTGCCCGTATTCTGCTTCTGTATGCTTTTTATTTTTAAATGACAAATTGGGAAGTGACACTGTCTATCTCATCTCGATCTTACCCTGCGTGATCCATGATAATCCGGATGGATTAAACGTACGTGTGTTTTTTTTGCTACCTGGTAATCCCATTCCTGAGCTGCAATGAAATGGCAATTTTATTTGTAAGGGTTTTCGTTGCCCCCCCCCCTCCTTCCTCCCTCATAAAGCAAATCATGCCATATTAATAAAACCCTGGTGCTTCTCATCTGCACTCCTTGAGTTGGGCTGACTTTCCTCGCTCATTAATATACCAAACAGCTGCGATGGTTTCAAATCCAAATGATCCGTCCATTTTCCACCATGTCCAAATGATGACTAAATGAAGTGTAAGCACTATTCTTTTCGTAGTTTGACAGATTTCTTCACATCAAATTAATAAAAGATTGAATCGGTTTATGGCCATCTCCCTGTTTCCTTGACATCTTCATGGACTGGGGAGTTAGAGAAGTCAAAGCTGCAAAGATTTCACATAAAGTCTCTGTAATGTTTGCTAGTGATCAAAGTCAGAGCCTGTCAGAATTTGAGAAGCCCTAAAGTAGAGCCAGAGGCCAAACTGTTGGTACTCCTGTGAGTAAAGATTTCAATGCAATAGTTGAATAAGACTTTAAATTAAGTTTCTGATGTGCTATTAAGATTTGAGTTACATACATTAGTCCCAGCTAGGGTATAAGTTCAATGTGACGGAAGAACCATACAATGTAATCTTATTGTTTAACTTTCTACATGATTTCCAGAATTCATCCCCTGACTTTTTGTCTTTGTTTATGAATTAATCCATATTTTTAATGTGTTTGCATTCCTCTTATTTTAGCAAAATCGTGATTGCTCTGGTTATATATTAGTATTCCCCAGACTTTGGGGAGTATGGAGGTTTTAGCTCTGGTTTGTTGAGGCTACCACCATATCTGGCTCTGCAGATGCCTTGGTGTGTAAAGCAATAACCCAAAAACTGTTTGACAGACAGAACTTCACGCCAGCATTGTATGGGTGCGGAAATGTAACTTCCTAAATTTTGAGACAGGTCACCCCAAAATTAATACAAACAAGGGCACTTGATCCCGTTAAGATGAAAATTATTTGACAGCTTGAAATTGAGAGCACGAAAAAGTAAACTGTGTGCACATTTAAGGGATTATGTGAGCTTGATTCATTATTTTTTGGGAACGTTAAACTAAAATTGTGCCCAAGATTTAATACACCATACCCACAAAAAGAAAAAGCCCCCAGGTGGACCCCCCAAGGGTCGGTGTATCACATAGTTGTATCTGTTACAGTTCTTACTGTTATAAAAAATAGAATAAAAATATTTATATGCGTAAAATATAATAATATAAACAACACGTAAAGACATGCAAATTAAGACGCCACAAAGAAATGCGTGTAACCACGTAATTGGTGTGGACAAATTCGGCAAATTGGCATGAAAATGGAACATGCAGTAAAGTAATTGGTGTAATTTCAGAGTTACGCATCACACCTAGAACTCAGAGCAGTCAGGTAAAAACTCATTTATTGGCTTTCATATTTCCTGTTGATCCATCCAGTTCTTCTAGACATTGTACAGATTGGTGATTGTGGGACAGGTGCAGCTTAGATGGGCAGAGCAGGTGATGGGGCTGTCTGGGGAATACAATGCTGTCGTTCCAACAGCCTCCCTGTCTACTTTTAAAATGCCATCTGTTCTGCTGATTTTTTATAATTTTTTTTTAAGTATTCTGCCTTTATGACCGGATGGAAGAACTAATTTTACCGCTCTTCTAATGATTCATTTGTATCGGTGCCTCTTTTCCTGTTTAACCTTATGTCACACATAAATATAAAACATTTGGGATGTAGCTCTGGATGCACGACGTTGTGTGTTCCTGCCCCAAGTATCAATTACAGCAGTATAGTCTTAACATTAAAGCAGTAATTTATTTTTTAAACATCTAACTGCTTTGGTTCCTGTCCCTCAGGACTTTGAGATGAATTGTGATTTAAAGATGTCTGTCATCTGCCTACTGGAAGAGGTGTTGCGTGATCCAGACCTGTTGCCTCAGGAGAGGAAAGCGACAGCAAACATTTTAAGGTGCTTTATTAATTATCATAAGATAGGATATGAAATAAGTTACATAAAGGGATATCATCTGAAGAGTGTTGTGAATGTTGTGCAGGATGATGGTGAAACTGTGACTGCTGTGTAATACTCACGATTCTATTTTTAACAGCGTCCTTTCACAAGATGACCAGGAAGACACACAACTGAGGATAGAGGACATTCTGCAGATTGTGAGTTTTCTAACTTCTAACTGATCAATTATGATCCTCACTGATTTGATCTGAAAAGCAACAAGTTGATTTGTTAAGTTACAGCCGAAGGCAGGGTTGGACTGGGATTAAATTTCAGGCCTGGGCTTTAAAGTCCCCAACAGCCCCACGGTAAATTCTACCAAGCTGGGGAGGGGGGAGTGTGGGGGGGTGGCCTCCCATGGCCTCCCAATACTATTTCACTGAGTGGGGATGGGGGTCCCCACAATAAATTTTGCCAGCCTACATTTCCCATTAACCCACTGGGAAAATACCTGATATGCCAGGTGGTCAGTCCAGCCTTATATTTAATATTTAATATATTTTATATTTAATAAACCACCTGGGTTGTACAATGGTATGTTCAAAATATATTCCCAGAGACTGAATAAATGTATAGCATTCATGAATTAAGACATAACTAAATTCAGGGGTTATATGACAAGAAGCAGAATTACATGATAAAACATAAATTATAAATCAGATGTTATGTATAAACGGGAATATTATATCAAAATCCTGAATGCATGCCTCTTCCAGAGAATATATTTAATACAGATTAATAAAGCAATGAGGCATGATATTTTTCTGTTCTATGTAAATACTACAGTTACTAGGAGACACGAATGGTACAAACAATGAAAAATGTTAAATCGTTCTGAACAGATGTTTCCTTACATTATTTGCCTTGTAAATAGTCATATTGCATCTTTTGCTCTCTGCCAATTAGAATGACAGAATCACAGAAATAGGCCATCTTAGCGGAATGGGATTTGAGTATTTAGTGTAGAGATATTTCACAGAGTGAGATCAGGTCATATCACAGTTATTACTTTTTCAGGTAATAAAGCACAGATAGACTTTATGGACCAAACTATTAGGACACCTGGCCTGCAGGAACTTTTATGACATCCCATTCTAAATCTATAGGCATCAATATGGAGCTGGTCCCCCCTTTGCAGCTGTAACAGCTGCCACTCTGGAAATTATTGGCCATTGATCCAGAAGAGCATTTGTGAGGTCAGGCAATCATGTTAGATGGGAAGACCTGGCTTGCAATCTTCATTCTAGTTCATCCCAAAGGCATTCAGTGGGATTGAAATCATGGCTCTGTATGGACCAGTCAAGTTCTTCCACACCAAACTCACCCAACCATGTCTTTATGGACCTTGGGGCACAGTCATGCTGGAACAGAAAAGGACCTTCCCCAAACTGTTCTCACAAAATTGGAAGCAAATGCCTTGGTATGCTGAAGCATTAACATTTCTCTTCACTAGAACTAAGGGTTCTAGCCCAACCCCTGAAAAACAACCCCATACTATTATCCCTCCTCCATCAAACTTTTAATTTGGCACAATGCAGTCAGGCGGGTAACGTTCTCCTGGCATCCACTAAACGCAGTCTCATCCATCAGACTGCCAGACAGAGAAGCGTGATTCCTCACTCCACAGAACACGTTTCCACTGCTCCATTCTCCAGTGGCAGTGTGCTTTACACCACTCCATCTCAAGCTTGGCATTGAGCTTGGTGATGTGAGGCTTGCATGCAGCTGTTTGGCCATGGAAGCCCATTCCACGAAGCTCCCGGCACACAGTTTTTGTGATGTGGTTAAAGCCAGAGAAAGTTTGGGACCCTGCAGTTACTGAGCCAAAAGAGTGTTGCGACTTTTAGGCACTGCATGCCTGAGCACTCCGCGGCCCGCTGTTACCTTACGTGGAGTTTCTGTTGTTCTTAACGCTTCTGCTTTGCAGTAATACCATTTACAGTAGACTGTGGAATATCTAGCAGAAAGAAATTTCATGGACTGTCTTATTGCAAGGGTAGCATCCTATGACAGCACCACGCTTGAATTCACTGGGCTGTTCAGAACCACCCATTCATTCACAAATATTTGTAAACCTCATCACTAAACAGAATACTATTTCGATTTATGTAGTTGTAATATTTTACTTCAGAAATTAAGGTTATGTACATAGCATAAAAGCAATGTCGATCCTTTTAAAATCACAAATATCGAAATAGTCTCCTTTCATGGCAAATTATTCATCAGCTAGAACGATGCTGTTATGGGTTTTTGTTTTTAATACACTGTACACACATTTAGTTTCTGTATGTGAGGGATTTAAACTGTGTACTGAGCAAAGATTTAAATTTAGTTTTCAAGCAAAAATATTTTAGATATAAGGGCAAAATCCCTCAATTTCAATATAAAAATGTTCAAACTGCACTAGAATGAACTTCCTTAGAGGCCCTGATATTGCAAAAAGATAATTAAAGATACATTTCCGGCTAAATAAAAGGGGTTATATAACGGATATTATTAAAAACATTCCCCAGATGAATTAGAAATGGTAAGTGAATTACCATTTAAAGTGCTTTAGAACTGCAGAGCTATTAAAGCTCTGTAAACAGCAGGCTTGCCTAGATGTTGGGCTTATCAGACAGCTTTAACATCTTCATTAGACCTTCAAACGCGGTGACATTTCTGCCGATTTATTTAACCCCCCTGCATTAGAACAACACAGGATTTCTGCAGTACAGTGTCTCAGCACTGCCTGGGGATTCGATTAGCAATTCCCTCCCCTGCTTCTCTGGTATTTATACCAAGTAACGAATAAAAAAGTCTAATTACAATGCTACAATGTTCAGCTGTATATACATATATCATTTTTCTTCTATTTAGGATTATGGATATATTCTTGAATCGTGAATCCTAGATTCTGCTCAGTCTTTGGCACTGGACAATATTGAGTATTTACAGGGAACATGGTATTCAGTATCTGTAGACTAATAGAGTTCTGCTACTTGTTGCAGTAGACTGATGTGACATTTTGTTTAGGGTATATGCACAAGAATAAAAATTAAGCCCTGGGTTCTACAAGTATTGTAATGTTATGAAAGCAATTAAATATAAAAGTAGATGGTTCTGATGTTGTAGTTACTGGAAAAGCAGAATTATAAACATCTGCTTAACAGATACCTTCATACAAAGAGGCTTAGAATCTGTATTTACTTGCTGAATATTAACAGGCCCAATTGAAGTTCAACAATTGTTGTTGAAAGGTACGAGTGAGCCTAACCTAACGAAGAACCTTGAGCTTATTGCTCCTTATTTGTCTGCTAATTAATTTAGTGTTAAATTTGGAATCTAGTACCTGCCTGGATATTGAAGATGAGGAGAAGTCTGGCTTTTTTATTAGTTTCTCTAGCATCTGTGAATCATCTTCAGTGCCCCCCCCCCCCATAAGAAAGCAGAGACTCGCCCGGTGACCTGCTGCTTTCCTGGCACTAAATAAAAACAATATTTCAGTTTAGTCTGCAGGGTCACTGTTATTGAAAGTGCTGTTATACCTGAATTGGAGCCTTAGCCCTTTAAAAGCAGACGGATCCCAAAGTGTCCTTGTGGGTGACGAATTCCACTGATTGTATTTTCAGATAGAATATAAAGCACGCCATATTTTACGTGCTTGAAATTAACAACAGCGCTTTTTTAGATTTAGTTGCTTAACTTTATATATACCTGGATACTTTACTGGAGCACTGGTTCAGGTACCAAAGCAAAACAGTAGGGCTTCTCTGGGACCTGAATCAGTACTTTTTGATTAATTATGAGTGATTATGTCCTTAATTATGCTGCCCTTTTGTCAGGGTCTAGTGTATTAGATGTATGACGTCTTTCTTTTGCCACAAAGATGTGAGCCTTCAAACATTCTGGAAATTAACTAATCATGTTGTAGAGACGCTTCTCCACTTCATACAGCCAGTTACTTAGGTTGCTTCTATTTGTATGAAGTCCATAAGTGACATACAGAATGGCAGATACTGTAATAGATCACAGGCACACTACAGTTATGGAGCCAATTTAAGGAGGATGAACTTACAATGAGAGACCAGGAACAAGTGCAAGTTAGCATTTGTGCAAGAGCCTTATAATATGCTTGAAAGCATTGTAGGGTGTGACACTCTAACAGAAGAACTATTTATATCTGCACACCATTAAGTTCCTACTAGAGAAGTGCACCCAGTGTTGCCTAGATACCATAACCAAGGGGTGGTCAAGGATAGAGTAGGTCAGTGGTTGAAATAGTTAATTGTGGTATCTCACTCACCATAAGGCTGCTTGCAACGTATTGCACTGACCTGTGACTTTATGGTCTTTCTCCAAAGGCTGAAAGTCCCAAGACTGAGTGCTTTGAATCGCTCTCAGCTATGGAGCTAGCAGAACAGATCACCCTGCTAGACCACATCGTCTTCCGGAGCATTCCGTATGAGTAAGTGCCCAACGCGATAATTCCATTCCCTTTGTATAAAGGCCCATCACTTGAAGGTCGTTTCTTATGATATCACTATCACCTCGATTACTCCTTTCAAGTAAGTGTCAGTCACGGTGTTTCTTTACTAGTGAGTTTCCTTTTAAATGATGTCATCCCCTATGAGTGAGAATCAGTCATTGTGTAATTGACTAGAATTTTGAATGAGTCACACGATGGGCCTTGTGAATGTCATTTTTAGTAGTAAAATTTCTGTTGGATATATCTTTACTAACACGGCCGTGGGATATAATTCGGCTTATCATAGCCCAATGACATATGAAAGATTACATACCGCCTTTCTTGCATTAGGGAATTTTTTGGCCAAGGGTGGATGAAGGTAGATAAGACTGAAAGGACACCCTACATCATGAAGACCAGCCAACACTTTAATGAGGTACTTATTGGCCACACCTAGAGAAACCGCTCAAAAGTGCTCTGATACCCACACAGTTTTTTATTATGTCTGGGAATAATTTGTAATTTTACTCAGATCAATCATTCAGTGAAATTTTAATTAGCTATAAAGGAAAATTATTTTCCCAGTAGTATTACAAGCAATAAAAACTACTATAATTGTATCTGTCAAAATTAATACTACATATTATTTTACCCTTTTACTCCTGGGAAATAGTCCAAATGCAAATGCAGAAACGTATTAAGGAAATGCTATTTCCTGTCCTGCCCATTGATTCTTTACCAGATGAGTAACCTGGTGGCATCTCAGATCATGACCCATACAGATGTGGGCTCCAGGGCTAACTCCATTGAGAAGTGGGTAGCAGTAGCTGACATTTGCCGCTGCCTACACAATTACAATGGCGTGCTGGAGATCACCTCTGCCCTCAACCGCAGCGCCATCTACAGGCTGAAAAAGACATGGGCCAAGGTCTGCAAGCAGGTAGATTCATGGTCAAACTGGCATTTATTTAATCTGATAATATGTAATTCTGTATCTCAGATAATCATCTCCTGTGGATTTCTGGAAGTATATAAGTAACAAACTGTACTGTGAGGTACATACTGTATGTCATAGATCCCAAATTAGCTTATCACAGAGGCCATTGATAAAAGCCTTGTTCTTCTCGCAGACGAAAGCCCTGATGGACAAGTTGCAAAAGATAGTCTCATCCGAAGGAAGATTTAAAAACTTGCGGGAAACACTGAAAAAGTGAGATTTAACTTATTCATAAGTTTATTGAGTGTGCTGCTTAGTTTGTCTTCCTTGCTGAGATTCTGCTTCCCAGCGTGTGCCAGCTCACATGGTTCTGTCCTCCTAGCTGTAACCCGCCCTGCGTCCCCTACCTGGGCATGTATCTGACCGACCTGGCCTTCATTGAAGAGGGAACACCCAACTTTACAGAAGAGGGTCTGGTCAACTTCTCTAAGATGAGAATGGTAAGACTGACAGAAATGTGTGCAATAACACACAAATATAATTATCAAATGAACACTTGCATGATACTTTTTTGACAATCTACACTAGTGGATTGTGGAAACGCTTTAAAAATGACTAATATTGGCGTTAATGTTTATAAACAATCAAAGAATGTTACAAATATCATACGGCAGCTGAATAAAGTTCTGTAGTCTCTAAAAATTGAAAGCGTTTCCACAATTTTGGCCACTAGTGTAGGTTGTCAAAAATGTATCATCTATGTTTTCATTTGATAATTCTAATTGTGTGCCATTGAGCATTTGCAATTGCCTATAATTGAATATATGTATGAAAAAAGTAGCTTTCAGACTATAACTGTGATTAAATGCTTCTCCAACATGTTTCCTTTAGATCTCACACATCATCCGCGAGATCCGCCAGTTCCAACAGACTCCCTACAGGATTGAACACCAGCCCAAGGTATGTCCTCAAGGAGAAGCCACAGCTTGATCTCAGAGGGTGCTTGGGTGGCCTTGCCTGTAACTTGTTTTTTAATTATGAAATATATTTTAGAAAATGTCTGAACATTTTATGTATATATTCAGGTATATTGAAAACTGAGCCGTGAAGGAAGGTAATATGTCTGATGTCTTACTCATTATGTTAAAATAAAGAGCCATGATCACCCACAGATGACGTGAACAATGTTGATTATCTCAGAACATCTGCACTAATCAAGATCTGGCATGTATTAAATGACAAGCGAACAGCTAGTTTTCATATGTGATGAGTGGGATTCAGGTGAAATCAGCACGCGAAAGATCTGACTGACTTAGACAAGGGACAAAGATAAAGAATGTAGCCTGGTCAGATGAGCCCACTTTCCTTTTACATCCTGTGGATGGGCACGTACACATGTGCTGTTTCCCTGGGGGAGGTCACCCTAGCCACCAAATTCCCCAGATCTGAATCCTAAGAAGCATCACTGGGATGTGCTGGAGCAGGAACTCCAGTCTGCAGTGGTTCCACCTTGCAACTTACAGGACCTATATTGTGCTTTATCTTCAGTTCTCTGATATCTTTGCGTGCCATTAGAAGACGTGTCAATTATTTGATTGGCTCACTATGTAGGATTCTGATAGGCTAATATGTATACTGTCTAGAATGGAAATTGGCTGTTGGTCTCATGAGCTACCCCGACACTCAGCTGAGGCTAGCATATTTTCTTGTCTTTTGTGATTTTCTAGGTTACACAATACTTGCTGGACAAGACCCTAGTAATGGATGAGGACACACTGTACGACCTCTCCCTGAAGATTGAGCCACGACTCCCAGCTTGAAGCTTGTCCTTTGGCACAGTGAACAGGACGGCTATAGCAGCCAGAAAACACATGCCAGGCAGGCTGAGAGGCAAAGGAGAACAGAACTCTTGTATGGCAGAGAGAGCAGATTAGCAGAGAGAGACAGGAAACAGGAGAAAGTGGTCAGAGGAGGGGTGTCACGGCTTCAGATGCAGTGCGGTCGCTACATTCTCAGCAAGCAGAATATGAGAAGCTAGAGGCACAAAACAAGAGCAGGAGATAGAAACGCTTCTCTATTTTGAAGAGAAAAGGGGAAGTACTGGGGAACGTAGCATGTACATAAATGTCATTGCGTCATCTGGCTTTTCTCTCCCCTCTTTGTGGTAGAATGAATGCCTCACATCGCCATTTTACGGAAAAATAAGCTGTATTCTAGGTGTGCTCTGTTGGCAAGAATGACTTTATATGTCTGTAATGTGTTTGTTAGCCTGTTTTGTTTTTATTTCAGTCTCAGTTACAGTTTGGGGCGAGTAGACTGGTGCCATATGTGAACCCTTCATCTTTCATATCTTAGACAAATTGTCTCTATCTGCAGTACTCAGAATAGTGCACAGAACTCCAGTATTTGAAGAGGATCACCTAAGTGAAAGGCTTGTGCAAAATTTTTTATTATTTTTTTTTAATATTTTGCGCAACAGTGTCAACAAGTGAATCTGTTATCCTGTACAACCTTAAACAGCTATACATGCAGTTTATTTCATTGCTATAGATAATGCTTGTCTCCCATCTTTTTGAGGATTTCATTCCCATTCCAGCAGCCATATTGTTTCATTTGCTGATCTGTAGATACTCGTGAATGAGTGACTCACTTCAGGTTCCCGTTCTTGAGGTTTACGATCTGACTGATCCACAGTAAAACATTAGATTGCTTCTTTTTAATCCATTCATTGTTGCAGCGTCTGGGATTATTTGTGTACTGTGTTTCATTTAATTAACAGTGACTTGTTAGCTAGGCAGCACAGTGGCTAGATCTGCAACCTCACAGAGTTGTGGGTCCAGTTCGCTCCTCCAGCTCTGTGCATGTTGAGCTTGCATGGTCTCTTTGCATCATCTGGCCTCTTCTGTGGAACATGCAGCTGGGTAAATTATTGTCTCTAAATTGCCAGTTGTATATGATTGTGTGCCCAGTGATGGACGGGTGCCCATCTAGGCCGTTAACTGTGTCATGAGCTTGAGGATTGTCGCAACATTGCTCTGGATAATCATTTATGCAAGATTAATAATTTATTAGCTCTTTGATTTTACACACATTTATCCATCTGGTTATTTAATGAAGCTTTCCCAATTAAAGAACCTTTTCCCTCCTGGAATCATAAATGAAACCCTTTGCTCATAAATCCAGCAGGACCTAACACTAGATCTAATCCAAACTGAAGACATTTTTCTGGTGCAGTTTATAATTGATTTTTATTTAAAAAGATAAGAGAAATAAAGATTGTAAAATAGTGACATTTGAAGCCAGTATTTCTAAAAGAGATGCTTAATTATTAGTTAATTAGAAGCCTGTGATTTGCATATTACTCAGTGTGAAGTGAGACGGTATTGACTTATAGTGGTTAATAATAATCATCTGCTTCAGCAACAAAATATGACGTTATAGCCAATAAACCTTACTGACGAAATAGTTATGGTTAAACTGCTTTACGGTGTTTCATCTAATTAAAACAATTTCATACCTGTTCTGCTGCAATGCCACATTCGAAGTTCTGTGTAATTGAACGCTTCCATGCATGCATGCTTTGGTTACTTTCTAGCATGCAATGTGTCTCTGAACTGCTCCATGGTTCTGTGAGTGCTGCCCTTCACCACAGATCACGCCTTCCCTAGTGTTTTTACCCTTGGCATCTTCAAGGTGTCCAGCTGACCACTTGTGTTGAGATTTCGTCACTGCCTTGCGCACAGCTATTGTAACATACTTGTCGGGGATACATCCAGGATGCAATAGTGTTTCCACTGCAAAAGATATGTGGGGAAATGTGTCCCCGACCACCTCAGCAAGTAGTTTGAGTGATCAGATCGCAATGCATCTTGGTGGTCATTTACATTTATCATTTAGCACTGTTTATTTCTGATCTGATCACCTAAGATGCATTTTAAAACAGGTGTACACAGGAACATTAATAGAAATCATTGTTACAGAAATGATCCATCTTAAACGTGACTTCAAATGCTTTATCATGCTGTTAGAAGCATCAAAATGTTTCTATTTTGAAATTTCAAACAGGGTGATGAATCAGTGATTAAGTGTTTAATTGATACTACTTGACAATACTCTTGATTTGAGGTTGAACTGAAACTGAATAAGCATGCAGAGTATTCAAAAACCGTGAAGATATTGTATAAGTGATGTATTATCCCCCCCTGGTGTTTAAAGTCACTACATAACATTTTATGAATGCTGGGCCCATCACAAATGCAAATCTTTTCCCGCAATTTATCTCCTTTTCACTGTGACAGCAGTTTCTGTAGAGAGTTAAATGTGATATATTTGCCTGGCTTAACGGTACATTATTTGTATGTCAAATATTTCATAACTGCATCAAATATTATGAGCTAACGACTCATTAAAGTCACTGTTGCCTGGCTATATGGCTGAGAAGATAAATATGTATAACAGCTAATTGTTGTTTATATATTTGCACAAAGATTAAGTTGGAGAGTTTACTGTGAAGAAAAAACAGACTTCTACATCCCTATAAAAACAACCACTTATATTTATATATATTTAATAAGTGGTAGTTCGAATACAATGATATGCATCTTTTCGTCATCTTGTACTTGCTTGACCCATAAAGTCAGGCTTTGTCCTTAAAATGTCCTTTTTAATCTCCATGTAATAGTTTTTGTTATTCTCAAGACTGACATACACCTAATGTGACCATCCACAGTAGGAGCGTTGACTGAAATGCCTTAACACATGACCAGCCATAAATAAAGGAATTTGCCTATACCGAGAAACGTTAAAACTGAAATTCATCTTGGGGAATGTAGACAACATCAGCATTGCCTCCCATGAGAAAATGCTCAATTTGTCAGCCTTGGTACATGTTTCGTTATTTTCGTTTTAGTTATCCAGGTAGTGCAGCTACAGTGGATTAAATGATTTAAAAAATATAAATCTTTTAATGTTGTACTGGAGAGCAGTACATTTGTTCACAAAACATACATATGTATTGATTGTTACATTTTTTTTCATTAGTTGAGAAGGCTAACAAACATTTGTTAATTAAAAAAAATAAAAAAATAAAACAATTAATTAAAAAAACCAATGCATTTATTGTGATTGACTGTTTTTTTATGGTTGAGATTCAATCAAAGACCTGTTTATTCAGACAAAATATAATAATGAAAAAAGGAAAAAGTTATAATGAATTAGTAATTTCCACAGGGCTTTGGGGTGGTGCGGACAGCAATGTAGCTATGCTTGCATGACTAGATTAGAATTTTTTTGCTATTTATTTCAATAAAGTTTTGATGTATTTATGTACATAGTGTGTCGCAAGAGAAGCTGAACTGCTTATGCTATTTATTTTAAAGTCTGCTGGGAAACATTCTGTTGCTTTTTTTAAGTTGTATAGTAGGTATTTTGTCTCTCCAAAGTCAGCATAAAAACATAAAAATTTTAATTATGTAGCACAAAATTTGTTAATTTTCCTGTTTTTAATAATTTACTGTAATGGCAAGTTCTACCGATGCAGAAATGCACAGCATTGCATGTGCATGTGCCTGAATAGACCAAACTGGGGTGTCTGATTTGTTTTAATTTATACTGTATATTATTGTATAAAAATTATTGTTGTTGTTTCTCCTTTTCTCTTTCTCTTGTCTCTTCTTGCCCATTCTTTAGGAGTGTGTATGTCTTATCCTAGTCAATGCTTACATGTAAAATAAAAGTCTTTTGAAAGTGTCTTAATCTGTTTGCTTGATTTTTGTGGGCACTTTTGCTCTGTAAATTGAGTGACCATAGGGATATTCTACAAAGCAGGATTTCCCAGTTAGCTGGATAATTTAAGTCATGGAAGAGAGGGAAGTGTCCTTCCTATTGGACAACCCTTACATTTGTCTTACATTACCTGGCTAATGAAAAAATCCTGCTTTGTGGGAAACGCCCCAGATAATCCATGTCAGGGAGGACACTTTGAGCTAGAACAGTATTTGTAAACTACCAATTCAATTAAAAGGAACTGGATTTCACTTGAGCACTGAGTTCTTGCTGTGTGCTGAATCGTCAGTCTCCTATAATCATGCATGTGTCACTAATGTTAATGTGAAATAACTGGATGAGTCTTTCAGTCATGGAAACAAACAGATCAGATCACAAGAAGAACTGAATTATTTAGCGAAGCCTAGGAGCCTTTCAGTTTTGAAGTAGTTTGTAAAACCTGTAGCTCAAAGAGTCCTCCTGACATGGATCTGATTTGATCTGATCTCTCTATCTGTAGAACAGCTGAGTCCTCACATGGAATTGAAAATCTTGTCATTCTACATTATCTGTGTGAGTTTCACAGCTCTTAGGATTAGTTCATCATTATCATTTTTTATTCCATTATCTGGTCTTTTTGGAGGCTAGATATAGTAGTCAGACTTTCAGGATCCAGCAGATACATTTCACATCACGGCATTTCGAAAACTCGCCTCCAGTTTCAAAGAACAGCTGCATGTCCAGTGTACACATTAGTCACATCTGACGTTCTAATGCATATGACACTGTTCCACTAATGCTGTGACATCAGTTTATACAAACTGGTAGCTTCTTAAAAATGGTCAGAAATGTTTGATATTACTGGCCGAGACGCATTAAAGTGTGATGCACTGCTGATGGTTTGGGCCTGCGGGAGGGTCAAGCTGAAGGGCACCCCGGGCTGGTACACGTGGATCCTGACACGTTAACAGATGAAAGGCGATTGGTTGGCATTGGAGCGGGCAGCTAATCCTGTGGCAGTATTCGCTCACTTTACACAGAGTGTCTCATTCTCTGAACAGCAGGAACGGAACACTGCTACCCAACAAGGTACTGTGGCATTTCTCTGCTTCATTTTAAGGCAAATCCTCCACCATTACCCGAACTTTACTCAAGTTTGGCGTTTACGTTCTGTAGTACTGTGAATGTGAGTGTTTTTAAAGTCATATTCTGAAATTTGGTAGAATTATATCTTTATGTATAGAAGTATCGTTGTCACTGCTGTATGCTAAAGAATTCCCCCCCTGGGGTCAATAAAGTATCTTATATCTTAAGTCCATTTAGATCTTCCATGTTTTCATCAACTATACCTACAAGAGGTTCATTTTAAAACCACCGGCAAGTCTGTGAGGATTAGGAAACGACTGAAAACAACCTGATTTAGTTTGAGCTATTTCTGTGATTACTGTTGCAGACACTTGCTATAATATACGCGTTAATATTATTTAAACCATGCATATACTCCAGAAAAAACCATTTATATGAGATTTATAGTTATTTATAGTGGTGGTTTAACTGTGAGATGCTTTACAATTTTCTAATATATTCAGTAATTGAATGTATTTATTGAAAAGTAACATAATTCTTTTCAAACTTGTTGGTATTTCCAATATAGCGAAAGATGAAACACATTTCACAATGCAGTCTGTGTGAACTGGCCCTATTAATTGCTGTATATCCTGAATATCTAAGTTTAGATATAATTTTGATATATTTTTTATCGCAATTATATCATTTAATGTTAAATTGACTTCCTTACCTTAGATGTGTGTGTCACACTGCATAAATGCAATAAGCCATCATAAAAGACTGCTATCCAGCGTTCAGCAGGTCCTGGGAGAACTATTCATCCTATTGTTGAATCTTAAAGTTCCAATAATGTACCTTTATTCAAATGAAAAGGTTGTGCCCCCACTTTCTATGGCTCACTGTCCACAAACTAGCTATAAGTAGCATTTTCAGATTTGCCTGTTTGCTCTCTTGCATTCCCGCGGTCTCTGCCTTTGGTCTCGCCCTTCAGTGGTCAGTCAGCAGCTCTGACCGGTTCAGAATGTCATGCCGGATCACGAGGCCTGCAAACCGTGCCAACTGGACTCAGGGCGCCTTTGCATCTATTAATACTCTTGCTCCTGGTAATAACCTTTTAATGCCCCCCAGCCAAGCTGATTTCAGGGCAAACTTCCAAACTTTGGGTAGGACGGCAAAAACGTCGCCTACAGCAGATCTCACAACCAGTCAAGCATTTTTTACTGCGCCGAAGTGGATCTAACTTCCTTTAACCTTGGGATTAGGTTGTGCAATGGTGTTCTCAGCTTTCACTGAGATACTGACTGTCACTCCTTGAACCACCACTAAAATGCCATCTCAGCACAGTCCAGAGCACACCGAAGGGTATCTGTGACACTCCCATGTTAACATAAGAACTTTGATTATTCTTACTTCCAGATAAGCCGTGAATAATCATAATACAGTGAACATGCTAATTCTGCTTCAGTCAGGTTTACTACTCCTTATCTTGACCATTGGTTATGAGAGAAAATAATTTTGAACTTTATGGAGAATTCCATATTGTAAAACTTCCAGATTGTATGTTCACTGTTACATAAGTGCAACAAAATTCATTACAGTTGCAGATCAAGTATTCCAGGATAACGGCAAAAATCACTTGGTGTAATATGCTTTTTCCCCCAAATATATATGTATTTAAGAATATTTTTCGAATATTGAAGCTGAATTAAGATAAATTCCTTACTGTAGCACAATCTAAAATGAAGGACATATTTCAGTCAATTATGAACATTTCAGTTTGGTCTAGGATTTACTACTTAAGAATATTATATAGTTATTTACGTCATAAAAGCACCCATACTTTTAGCAGATAATGCTTTATATATTTTTTCCTTTCGTGGCTTTCTTGATTGGTACCGTTTTATTTTGTATGGTGTTCTAAATGCCCTTTGATTGCCCCTTGATTGCCCTTTCCCTGTGCCTCACTTCCCCCCAAAGTCTTCTTAGGTGTTGTCGTAACCCTGAGCAGCGAAGATGGCGAGCGTCTTCACCCGCATGATGTCTGGCCGCGGTGTCGCCCTCATGTTGGGCGGCCTTGGCGCGGGCTCCTTTGCCACCAGCTACCTGAGGGGTGACTCTGCGAATGTCACCGCCCAGGAGAAAACAAAGCTGTACCCCCCGAGGTATCCTCACACTTAGGAAAGTGTGCTTATTCACTTACTTGGGGCATTTTAAACCAGCCTTTAACTCTCCATCTACATCGTTAGTCACTATGGATTCTGTCACTAACACATTACCCAAAAAGTTCTTTAAGCAATAACATATGAGAAGTAGTGCAGTTCTACTACAATATTTTCACGGCTGTGATTTGGTCATAGGCACGAGGGCGCAGTTCATAAGGTATACAACAGTTCATCGAGTAGCATTCATAAGGTAACAGTAATAACATACAGCATATTTTGTTTGTTTATTTAAACATTTATGGGCCTCTGCAAAGAAAAATACGTCAGCGAAATTGAGACGGGCTATCACGTCCAAACCCAAATTCAGTCCATAACCAATGTAGTTTTGTCTAATATCACCGACGCCAGCAGTGAAACAACTAACCAGCTTATCAGCGGAATAACTTTGCATTGTAAATTAAAACCATGCCACAGGTCTAATAAATAAAATATTGTGGGGCTCGAGTGGCAAAGAGATCATGAGGTTCACCAAGTTCAGTTATTAGCAGACTGTTCTGTTGCGCAAACCTTAAAAGAAAAAAGAATAAACTCACACACAGACATGGGAGCCTTTACGGAGACATAAGTGGATACAGGCTAATAGAGACATTGCACAACGAGTCATTCTCTGAAACTTTTGTTTTTCGTTTTGGCAGCGTTTAAAAACTTATAATCCAAAACAGATCAAAATAAATCCAGCAAAACTGAATAAACCTTTACTTTACTCTCCTTTCTGCCTACATTCATTTTTGAAACCGGTGGAATCATGGGCAGGTTCTCAAAAGACACCAAGCGAGAACCACCGGCACCGGCTCCGTGTTGGTGGAAATGAGGCACATGTAATGGTATTTAGGTTCACTTTTAAAGAGGAGCAATGCAGCTGCAATTCTTGTCCAATCAGATTTCTTGGTTGGATCTAACTGTTGTATAAGAAACAATAACGTCAAGAAACCCATTTGTTGACATAGTCTTGTTAAAGTTCCGTATGAATAGTTTCCATGCTCAGGTTCTAATAAGGAATTTGAGGTAAATAGACTGTCAAACCTCTAGTACTCAGATGTGTCATTTCCAGAACTTTAGCCAAGGTTCTGTAAAAGTCTTCTCAAAGTTGGCAGAGAATGTTCTTACTGTAACGTTAATGGAACGCTATTTCCAAATTTTACATTTTAACAAAGGTTCTGTCAGTGTCGACATGATAAAATTATTACTTATTACTTTTATTAATTATTACTAACACCCCTTTAATGCAAATATTATTGAAAAACATTGTTTTATAATAAAATATTATTTTATAAAAGTGTTTATATACTGCGAAGATGCTGACCAGCCCTTAACCCACAACCTTTCCGGTGTAAATCGACAGTGTTACCCTCTGCCCTACCATGCCCATCGTTAGCTTTTATATTATTAGCCTTAGTTGTAGTAGTAGTTGTTGTATTAGTGAGATAACATTCTCGGAACATCAGGAAAACTGGCTACTTTGAACGTTTCTATACCTTAATCGTAACATTAGGTAAACGTTGCTGGAATGAAATATTTTTAGCGGGGAGAGCTCTGCACATAGTGTGCTTGCAGCTGGCCCAGGGCCAGATAACGTTATACCATGAGGGAGCTTTCATCTGCGCAGCCAGGCGAGCCTCTCAATAGCCAGAGGTGCTGCAGTGCCGTGAAAGCCGCAGGACCTGCAGTGATGCACCGGTGAGCTGTACATCAGCCGATAACGCTGCCAGGGGCAGATAACTTTAATTGCTATACTCAGAGCCAGACGTAATGAGACAGAGCGAGTCGGCCAGCAGTGACCAGTATAGCCCATCTAAAGAAGCAATTAAGTAGGAGAATGGAAATGCCACATCTGGACTGTGCCATGAACGAGGCTAAATATAGCCTCAATGTGGTGCTCAAACACTGACAACTGGAAAAAAATACCATTATTCTGCTCCAGCACTTAATTATTCCTACAGACTTCACAAAGGTGTACATGAATACTATTTTAAGATAGTATACACTATACAATATAGTATACTTATATACTATAATATATAAGTATACACTAGTGGCAATCGTCCAATAAACATATGCAGTCCAATATACACTGGACGATTGAATAAGTAACTGGAGCAATTTCTGCAATCTGTAATAATTGTATAGTACTTACAATTGTTAAGGAAAGGAGAATTTATGTATTAAGTCAAAGTAATTAACTCAATCCGGCTTTTGTAGAAGCATTTGCCCTCTATAAACATTTTATTGTAGCCATAGTTTCTGGTGAAGAGATGGTTTGAGTGCGGCTGGTAGAAATATTAACGGCGTAAGTATGATGGTTAGCAGCTTCACCATGAATCCCTTAGTAATGCCATTGTGCGTCTTTGTTCTCCAACAGTGCCGATTTCCCCGACCTACGCCAGCATAACAACTGCATGGCATCTGCACTGACGCCGGCCATCTACAGCAAACTGCGCGACAAGTGCACCCCCAGTGGCTGGACCCTGGACCAGTGCATCCAGACCGGCGTGGACAACCCTGGGCACCCCTTCATTAAGACCGTGGGCATGGTGGCTGGGGATGAGGAGACCTATGAGGTTGGTTTTGGAATCTGAGGAGCTCCCAGTGTCATAGCTGTGTCCATTACAGTTTGATACTCTGTAAAAGTACCACTCCCGGGATTATACTGGCTAATGAGTCACCAAGTGATTAATGGCATGAATTTAAAATCTGAACATTATCAGTTCAAATCCCAGGACCCAGCCCTGTAATATACTTGACTGAGGAGTATAAACAAACGTGATTCAGTAAAATTTCCAACTGCCTCATTTGGTATTTATAATGTGCTTGGAATAAAGTGTCGTCTTTTGGACTTATTATTCTGCCTGTTTCATGCTCCTGCTCATATTTATAAATCGATATAGTTATCAGAAATGATATAGATCTGTAAGTTCAGCATTTAATGAATTATTGGGAAATATGACGAGTTGTTTTGTTTGTTCTTCTTCAGTGCCTCTCAGGTTATCTATATATTCATGAGAATTTTTGCCATCCGTAGGTGTTTGCTGACATCTTCGACCCTGTCATCAAGGACAGACACAACGGCTATGACCCCAGACGCATGAAGCACCCTACTGACCTGGACAGCTCTAAGGTAATTAGCTTACCAATCTTCTCTTACCATTAGGTGCAGATTAATGCCCCGGCTATCCTAGCCTGTGGTCTAGGGCCCCAGCAAAGATCAGGGCCCCGTCCCGCCTTGGGGAAAGATGGAACTGTTAGTTAAATCGGCAACAACTGAGTTATCTTGTTGATGCCAGCCTAGGAGCCCCAGATAAGTTAATCCGCCTCTTCTTACCATGGCAACCGATGGCCCCTCCCCCCGTAGATCACCTCTGGCATGTTCGACGACCGTTACGTGCTGTCATCACGCGTGCGTACGGGCCGCAGCATCCGAGGCCTGAGCCTGCCTCCTGCCTGCTCCCGGGCTGAGCGCCGCGAGGTGGAGCGCGTGGTCGTCCAGGCGCTGTCGGGCCTCAAGGGCGACCTGTCTGGGAAATACTACAGCCTGGGTGAGATGACCGAGAAGGAGCAACAGCAGCTAATCGATGTAAGCAAGCTGTCCATCTGCCTAGGCCACGCCTACAGTATCTCAGCGACACTTCATCACCCTAAACGGACCCTAATGTGGACTTTAATTCAGATACTGTAAAAGCACACACATACATACAAACACATAAACTAAATATATTAATTTAGTTGATTCATCTATAGACCTTGATAAAACAAAGATTTGAACAATTTGAAATATTTCAACAATTAGAGAGTATAAAGCACAAACTATAATTACCTTAAAACAAAACACAAAACTAATGACTAACAGATTTAAATCCAACAAAGAGAAAAACACAAACTGACAGCAAAACAGAATAAACAAAGATAGTATCGATGACTAAAAACAGTTTTTAGATTGTTTTCTCAACCACATGAGAGCTATAAGTTATTTATAAATATTAAACACAATATTCACAAGTGAAGCTTATCCAGCAGTGTGCTTTCAGCACCTGGTGGACCTGTTTGTGCATGTGACCTTTGTCGTGTCACAGACTAGGCTTTCCCCCTCACTGTGCTGGTTGCCCTTAGTGACATCAGCTAGATAAGCCAGTCTGTCCTCTGCAATCGGCAGCAGCCATAGCTAGAGGTTTGGGCCCAGTAGAATAGCCTCGAAGCTGAAGACGGCACAGAGCTGTTCCCTCATACCTCTGGGACAGAGGGCTTCATTCCTCCCTCTCATCTGTCTGTGTAGGGCTCTGTCCCATGTCCTCCACAGTTAGGCTAACTGGCATCCCTAAATTGCCCATAATATGTGCGAGAATGTACTCTATGATGGACTGGCATTGCATCCAGGGTGTCCCCTGCATTGTGCCCTAGGCAGCCTGGGATAGACTCCAGCCCCCCTGTGACCCTACCGAATGCTCAGATCCCGAGATGGATGCCCCAAAGATTAACATTTCAGTTAATTGGAAACAACTTAAGAACAGAAGCATAAACCAAGATATCAGCATTGATAATTGTGGAAAAACCATATATTGGATGGCAAACAGACATGAGGGGTAGAATGGGACAATTGTATTAGCATGTTTGGGAAAAACTAGCCGGCCACCTGAGTCACATGCAGGCAGCTGTTCGGCTCCATAAACTAAATCCTGTGTAACCCTAAACCCTCCAGCACGACTCTAGCGATACACCTATATTCTCTCCATGTCACAGAAACATTCATAAATTAATAACTGGTATTTTTTACTCACTGATTTATGACTTTAATAAATGATCACATGACCTTATTATTGCCCACATTTAATAAATATGAATAATAAGACATATGGTTTAGGTTATGCCTTTGAGCTGCAGACTTAACCTGAACTGTGCCATGATTAATTTAAATCAATAAAATGAAATAGTTCTGGATAATATCACAATGCAACAATAAGAATATGTATTACCTACATAACTTATAAATTACAATCATACTAATCCTACAAATCCTGCAAGAAGACAACTTTGCAATAAAGCCATTCACCTGAAATGCTCACTCTCTCTCCTCTGCCAAAGGACCACTTCCTGTTTGATAAGCCCGTCTCCCCCCTGTTGACATGTGCGGGTATGGCCCGTGATTGGCCAGACGCCAGGGGGATCTGGTATGTTGAATGGGATTGCTGTAATGGCCTGCTGGTGTGCCAGTTAACAAAAGCACCCCGGGACGAACCGGGACAGGTCATGAGTAACACATTTCAAATCATTGCAAGGTGTTGTGTGTAGAAATCTACTTAGCAAACAACCTGAATTTGTCCAACATTTTAACCAACTTCAATGCATTTGTGTTTTTGATTCATATGTCACCTAGAATGAGTTCTTTCTAATTTAAAGGTTTTATAGTAGCAGTAACCCAAACTCTAAAAGTACACATTTAACAAGTAGCTTGCTGCTAACTCTGACAGCAAAGTATGATTCTGCATAGTTATTTATGAATTGCTCATAATCTTATTCATTAATTTCAGTTAATAATTATTGTCAATAAGTAGCCCTTGATTAATTATTTTTAATGGCTTTTGAAACTACATCATTATCGTGTTATATGTTACACAATGTCTCCTGGACTGCCAAGGTTGTTTGTTTTGTTTGTTTTTTGTTTGCAGGGGTGAAACTAAAGATTTTTTGCTGCTGGCCAGCTGGACTAATTCATTTTTTTTAAGCCAGCGAGCTAGTGTTCAAAGGGCAATGTACAAAAAAGTACATTGCCCTTTGTCTACATTACCAGCCTCAGGCGAATGGGCATGCTTAATTTGTTTGTTTGTTTGTTCTCTCGTTGTTTGCCTGAGCTTAATCCTGAACCCTTGTTCTGCAGGCACAACAATGAGAAAACTTTCCTGATATGGGTCAATGAGGAAGACCACACTCGCGTCATCTCCATGGAAAAAGGAGGCAACATGAAGAGGGTGTTTGAGAGGTTCTGCAGGGGACTCAAAGAGGTATGGCCTCCCCGATCAACTGATCCATTGACCCCCCCCCCCCCCACAAAAAAAAAAAAAAACATCTGATCCATTTCACTGGGTATTCAGTGTCACTGGCCTTAAAGGTCATATACAAATTTATACAGGGTGTTTCAGTTTGATTTTAACGTTGCAAAATTTCTCCCCATCTAAAATACCATACCTAAAAACACTATGTACCGCATGTTAAAAAAACCTTTCAGCCTTTGGCATACAGTTGCTAATAACACGTTTATTTCTATATGTATGTTAATCCTATAAATAAACTAATGAGATTCAAAACTTAATGAGACAAAAGTTATTATCCAAACATGGCTCTTGCTCCCCTGCCCCCGCCTGATGGAGCCATTTACCCCATCTTCCAACAGGTGGAGCATCTGATCCAGGAGCGTGGCTGGGAGTTCATGTGGAATGAACGCCTGGGCTACATCCTGACCTGTCCCTCGAACCTGGGCACAGGCCTTCGGGCAGGGGTACACGTGCGTCTTCCTCTGCTCGGCAAGGTGAGCAGACCACGCCCATTAGACCACAGTCACAAGTATCTCGGAAAACCCTAGAACCTGAAACCCCTATGCAGCCCGTGATGACGCTCCCTCCGCTCCAGCCAATGGCGTTAGGGAACTTTCCGAATGTTCATGATAACAGTAGAGAATGGCATGAATCTGTGTTGGATCTGGTAGGATACCCGCTTCAGTAAGATTCTGGACAACCTGCGGCTCCAGAAACGAGGCACCGGCGGTGTGGACACCGCGGCCGTGGGGGATGTGTTCGATATTTCCAACAACGACCGCTTGGGCAAATCTGAGGTAAACTTGGCTTCTTCAGAGTAAAAGGTGTAAAAGACAGTATGAGTCAAGTACAGTGCTGAACAAATAACCGAAGTCATAAACTGGAAAGTTATATAGAAAAAGGCAGAAACCAGAGTAAACATAGTATATTAGGGCGAGTGTCGTCTTATCATTATTAAAGGTACGTGTTTCCTAACATACAGTACAGGTCACATTCTGTCCAATAGGACGCTATGCGAACATCACATACACTCAATACAAACCTATATGGGTATACTGCATCTGTACTGTATCTGTGCTAGCTAAACAGCCAAGATACTTTATATAAAAGAGAGAGTACACATTAAAATAACAATAAAAACTGTATTAAAGTAAATACATAAATGTGTAACATTATGTCTGCTGTGTGCCATTAGCCAATCAGGATTTTTCAACTCAGTTTTAACCTTATGGGACCTCGGATATATATCTGGTTGGATGTTGTGTGAAAGGACGTTAAGCAATGCAGAATTATTATTATTATTATTATTGGTGTTATTGGTGTTGTTGCTGTTGCTATTAAACAGATTTCACACAAGTAAACGATGTCATTTTGTCAACTCTGTCTAAATTTCTTCTTCCCCTTGTATTTTATTGTGCATTAGGTGGAGCTGGTCCAGCTGTTGATTGATGGTGTTAACTACCTGATTGAATGTGAGAAGAAGCTCGAGAAAGGGCAGGAGATAAAGGTTCCTGCCCCCATTCTCCAGTTCAGAAAGTGAGCCTCACAATGTGAGCTATAGGCAAACATGCTGCTAGATCACCTTCTGTTTTTTTTTGCAAAACCGAAGGTCTTACTCTGTAATAAACTGTAATATTTTAAATACTCCTGCCCTGTCTGGTTCCCCTTCTCAGTTGTGCCTTTGGTTTCATGTTAACATTGACAGCACTTGGTCTGTCCCCAACCTCACAACCACAAGGAGCAGCAACAAAGATCAGTGAACCGACAGCTTCATTCAGTGACTTGGCTTACCTCACATTTCACAGCTACAGATCTTTTTACTGCCCTCTAAACTGCAGCCACCAAACCAATCCACCTATCAATCTCACATTCCCTCTTACCATCACTCGCAAGGGGATTCCATAGTACTCAAAGTCACTAAGGCCAAACTCTCCACCTCAGCACCAAAAAAGAGTGATTCACTCTTTCCACAATCCACCACCCAGCTGCCTCTGAATTTGCATGTGCTGGTTTTCATCCCCTCTGCTTCACACACAGCATTAACAGCTCCAATGTGTGCAGGATTTCCTGATCGCCCGGTGCCAGGAGCACAGCATTAGCTGTACATTGCAGGGATGTCATATCTAGCCCACCAGTCTGAATGCTCTTCCAGGCACAGCTGCAGATTGATGTCCTGTCAATGAAAATCACAATTAGGAGTGGTGACAAGATACCCCCAACATCCACTCTCAGTGCCTTTGGTTTTGTGCTAAGGATGCAGGCACAGTGCTTGCTGTGTTCATATAGGAATCAAAATATCACGCAGCAGTGGCCCCTGTTACCACATGTTCCTGCAGAACCTCCCACAGTATGTGCTGAGGCACATGGTCATATTTGCCTTCTCCAAGTCCAGAACACTCATGTAGACTGTGTTAGCATATTCCTACATACCCTCACATGAGTATGTAAGGGAGATGAGTTAGCCTACTGTCATGGCCAGCCTGGAATCCACATTGTTCTGGAATCCTGTGTTCAATAATCGGACCAGTCTCCTTAGCAGGCAAAAAGACGGAGAAGTATATTTTCCCAGTAAAGGGAACACATCCTCTTGTCCCCCTTTTCAGAAATAGGGACCCCCACCCTGTTTATTTGCCAGTACAGAGGTCCTTTAAACACCTTCCATTTAACACTGAAAAGGCTGTGCTACCCCAACAACATCCAGTGCCTTCAACACGTCTGGATGGATTTCTGATCCACTTGAAGTTTCCAGCAACGCATCTTAATAATAGTGTAGTTTTCATTGTCGGCCAACATCCCCACATTTGGTCAGCACTTCCTGACTCCTGTTAACTACATTCTGATCCGACCTCCTTCTCCTAAGGTGCCAATCAGTTTTCTAAAACATTGTTTCGACTACTCAATACTCTCTGTTCTTTCCCTACCCAAACCTCTCCCGTACACAAACTTCCAGTATTTTTCAGCTGTCTCAGGAGTCCCCATGCAAAAATTGCCCTAAGGGCTTGTGGCTTCAGCTTAAGTTCCCCTCATTACTGTTTATGATGGCAAATGCCGTGTTGAACAAGAACAAGAACTGAGAAAAAAGACTGTACATGTCTTACTAGTGAAATCCATTTCTAATGTGGGCTCAAGGAAATTCCTTATGGATAATAGAATTTAGTGATCAGTGGTGATAAACCACAACAACAAAATGTGTCCTCTGCATTTCACCCATATGTGACATAGCAGGGGGCAGCTAATTCAGCACATGGGGAGCAGTGCTTGGGGGCGGTACCTTGCTCAGAGTACCTCACTGGTCAAGGATTCAAACCAACAACCTTTTGACCACAAGCACACTTCCCTAATCATTATGCCACCACTGGCAATATGCTGCAAAGCTTAATAATTTTCAAATGAAACCCAAAAGTGTGTTACCGAAGTGTTTGCTTGCTTCTAAATTTAAGCCTGTTCATATTGCATTCCAAATCTATGCAAAGTTTCGCCTTAAACTGACTTATGTAAAAAAGTGTTTAATTTAAGATGTGTTATTATTTTACACATTAATATTTTCTCCAGTTTGTACATTCGAACTTGTATTTCTTTTATACTATTTCCTACATGAGAGATCCTGCTTTGTACTGCGTTTCTTACGACGGTTTTAGTGGGAACGAATTTACGGTACAGTTGTTTCCTCACGGATCTTACTTTCATCGTACATCCGGGAAAACATGCGAGTTTGACCAGCGCCTCTAGAGTAAGTCTATATTTCACATATTCGTAGTAAATTTAAAATGATTAATATGACAAGCGAGGTATACGAGCTGAAATTAGGTTTTTTTAAATCGGGTTTAATTAGCACTATTGTCCAACCTATGTATAGTCACTCTTTAAATATGGTAAATGTATGTACGACCGTTTTCATTTTTTACAGAGGTTAGATGGGTTTATCTGGTTGAAATTGTTTTCTAATCTTAATCGAAGGAGTTAAATTCCTCGGTTTAATTTCGACATCTCAATTGTGTTATTTAGAATATGTGAACGGTTCTGATTATTGTGCAGAAACTAGCTGCACAGGGCCTGGACTAGTACTATAACTCGTGAGACCATATTCTGAGGTCCTCCATGTAGATAGATATTCGTTGGTGGGATGAAGGAAGACGAATTAACAGGGTTGCCAACTTTGGCCAGCTGGATGGAGTGAGATTTTCAATTCGGGATAAGTCTGCACACATATGCACAAACATTTACATGTATGTAACAGTTTTAGATAGATAGATACTTCATTATTACCGAAGGAAATGTAGGCATCCAGAAGCTCGGAAAATACAATGGTAGATACAATGATACACACGGTAATAAAATAAAAACACAACCTTGGATTGCATATGTGGAGGATGAAAGAAGCTGTACAGATCAAAGTGACTGTGCACGGATATTAATAGCTGCTTCCATTCATAAGCTCCATAGCATTACCTTGTAAATAGTCTGTATGGTTTGCAAACTACCCCAGTGCTCTAAATATGGCTAATTTTAGGTTTATAATGGAATAAGATTTCTTGTGTGAGCATGAGTGTGAAAGTGTGAGTGTCACACCAGATGTGTGAGAGTTGGCAGCCTGGTATTAATCACATGACCAGATGAAGACGAAGACTGCTGGACATCAGTAAAACCTTGTGTTGTTTGTCACTTAGGTGATTCAGTGATGACACGGTGGGCTCGAGGCAACAATGTGCACAAGAACAAGCCGGCAGAGGCAACGCCATGGAGCGTACTGAAAGCCAACAGGGGTGAAGAGGGGGCGTCTACGAGCGGGAGGTCTTGGCCTCTGCGGCGCCCCCAGCCCGATCAGAGATTCAAGAGGCCCAATAAGAAGAAGAAGGACTATGACAACCAAGACGTCAATGGATTCCTGGAATACCTGCAGCAGGGGGGCGGAGCGCTTCCGTCTGGGGACACCGACGAGCGGGGCTTTAGGGAGGAGGTGGCGATGGCGCTAAAAAAGGACCAGAGGCGGGAGAACAGGAGGATAAAAAGACAGCATGATAAGAAGAACAAAATGGTGAGCGGGGTTTGAGAGGAGAAGGAGGTGGAGCAGAGCAGTAGAAGAGCGGCAGAGGTTTTATAGATAAGCCGTTATGAAGCGGCATGTTGTCCACTGTGTTATATACGTCCTGAGAATGAGGCGCAAGGGCCCATGTGGCTGTTAGCATAATAAATGGCAGTGACCTTAGGTGAGAGCACATGTGTTTGTGCCTCAGAAGATACTGATTACTGCATTACTAGCAGTGGAAAACTACAATGATGTGTCATATTAGTCTCAGATATATGGATCCTGTGGGAATTCTTTCTGTCATTTACTTCATACGGTCTGATGATGTTCCGCCCCCCCTGACTGTCTATGCACTCTCTGGGCTTCGCAGCTCTGCTTCAACTGCAGGAAGCCGGGCCACGGGCTGGCCGACTGCCCCGAGGCCGACCGTGACGTGGAGATGGGCCGGGGCATATGCTACCGCTGCGGCTCCACGGAACACGAGATCCAGAGGTGTCGGGCCAAAGTGGACCCCGCCCTGGGTGAGACGGTGCCTTCCCATCAGGAGAAAGATGGGTGTGGCCACAAAATGTGTATTTGTTTCTCCTGTGCAGTGAGTGGCATAGGGCAGAGCCTCAGCCTCAGCTAAAGCTAACTGGTTGAAATGCTAAATGATGGATGAACCAAGATGGCCTCCTTAATCTGGGGAGCTAGTAAAAATTCAAAGGATAGACGAAATGTCACCAATTTAGACAAAGTCTGAAACACTTCTTAGAGCATGAGAATGTCCGTGTGTGATTTGAGCTGCATAGCTAACATAGCCAGCCTTTGTGGTGGTTACAGGCGAGTATCCCTATGCCAAATGCTTCATATGTGGTGAAACCGGACACTTGTCGAGATCCTGTCCCGATAATCCCAAAGGCCTGTATGCTGCTGGTATGTACCACTTCATTTTGTCTGAAATTTCTGCTTTTCAAAATACTTGTTATAAATGATTATAGTTAACATTAAGTGTTTTTTTGTTTAGTTTTTTTTTTATAAAAGTAAAAGTGCTGGCGCACTAAAACGAGCGGTAACGAACCGCCCTTTTCTCGTTCCATTTATATTGCAAACATAGAGATTCTAAATTGTTTCTGCACAGCTCACTAGCAGCTATCAATGAATTATGTCTCCTGTTATGCATAAAAAAAAGTCTGAATCCAAAGAGAAATCCATGCTTTTCCAAGTGCCCTAAATGATTTCCTTACTTTTTTAAAAGAGGGGATTGTGCATTGAAAATAATGCCTAAATAGGTCCTGATATTACCATCACGAAAAATACTGCTACTGTTATGTTATTCTTCATACATTTCCCTTCCACGCCAGCAGGGTAGGTGTGTGCTGAATATGACATTTTAATTTAAAAAAGAGCTGCATACTCTGTATATGTTCGTACATATTGTAGTTGTGCTGTAGGTGTCGGCCATGTTTCTTCAGTTAATGTGCTGCTTTCCTCCTTGGAGACGTGAACCTGCATGAGTGGGTCTTGTCTTTTGCCAGGTGGCTGCTGCCGGGTCTGCGGCTCTGTGGAACACTTTCAGAAAGACTGTCCTGAGAACCAGAATTCAGGTAACTCACCTTAAGCATATTAAGAGGCTTTAGCATTAATATCTGGCTCAGCCTTGCAAGATCGGGAAGCATTTTAGACCCGTGGAAGCAGGATGGCAGCGCTGGGAAAGTGAGAGAACCGAGCGGTTACTCTGTTAAGATTTCTTTGGGTGCTCTGGTCTTGTGCTGCGATTTAAGGAGGTGATGGTATGTCAACGTTGCCCTGTACTCTCTGTTTCCCCTCAGGACCGTGTAGAAAGCCTCGCCCCGTTTGCTCTGTCTTAGCAGATTTTGAGTAGCAGGACTGTGTTTTAGGTTAATCTAAAGAGAAATTAATGTATTATGCTTCTAAGGATGAGACCAGGTTTTTGGTTTTTCTCCTACAGCAAATGCAGTGACTGTGGGCCGGCTGTCCAACGCCATGAGTGCCGACCATGAGGATGTTTACATCCCAGTCAAGAAAGTCAAGCCCAAGTCTGAGAAGGTGGTCGTCTTCTGAGACACGCACACCAATGGGCGCAAACGCCACGCTCCTTTACGGCTTCAGGACAGTTAAGACCTTTGAAATGAAGAAGGTGTTACCTGGAAACATCACAGTCACTGTTCGATTTTTGTGACACAGGGTCCCCTCCAGCCCCCCCCCGCAACAGGAAGAATCATCACTTCTTTTTGGATTCAAAGAGCACAACCAAATAAATGCAGCGTTTCTGTTGTGACTTTTTCAGACGATCTCTTCTCATCACAGTTTCAGTTCTGAAGAACTTCTTTTTCATCAGAACTTTTGCATGTTAAAAGTGCTGCTTCTGCATTTTCTCCTACCCATTTGGAAGTTCTCAAACACTGTTACTCCTCCTCTGTTCCTGCTGTTGCTCCAGCAGTTGAAGCTGGTGCCTTCAGTGACTAGAGAGACGGTCCTTTAGACGGGAATCTTGCTTTGAAGCCTCTATTACATCGTAGTTGTTGTCGGACTACATGTGCACAAACGATAAGGTGCACAAGCTGTTTGCACCATTATTTGTAAAGTTTAATAATGTTTATAGGATCCAAAACAAATTTTATGACATTTATTAAAATACATACATAAATGTAAATTTTGTTAATTGCATTTTCTATAGCCAAGGTGACAACAGTATATAAAGTATTTGTATGTACAATTCACATCAATAAGCCTTTACATTTATACATCAGCACATAAGCTTACAGCCAAGGAGTGCATTTACAGCGTTTCTTAATGCTAAATCAATTAATGATAGATATCATTAAGGCATAATTTCAGAGAATAACAATATGTGATTATACACATTTTGCAAAGTATATCTTAATTTCAAGGCCCTCATATAAAATGATGTATCGCGTTGTTTAAATAGATTATTTAACCATTATACTTTTATAGACATTCAAATATACATCAGTACACAGCTACAGTTGTTAAAGCCAAAATACCCTTACTGGTGGGAGGCTTATATTCACTGGACCTTTCATGATGTGTGGAGTGGGACTGGCAGCACATCCCTCCCCAGGAAAGCGATGCATGACGAGGCCGTGTCCTCCATGCACCTGGACCATCCTGCGAGGTTCCCCACCACATACGGCAGAACCCCCAAGGTCACCTGGTTGTAGTAAGACACCTATTTGCAGCAAGAGCAGAAAAACATCGATGAATCATCCGGGCAGTAAAAATTTCACCGCCTTCCCACCCTGAAGCCGAAGGAAGGGCATCACTCACGTATCGCAGATAAGCTGTAATAAGACGAGTCTTATGCTGCAAATGTAAATCCGCACCCAGAGATTTGCATGAATAAAACCTTTATAGAATTAGGAGGTAAAATCTGGTATCCCGAGAATGCAACTTATGTTTAAGAATTAACTATAATGAAATATAATTTTAATAAATCGTTAATTATGTAATTATTCAATAAAATTGATGAATCAATCATTTAACATCTCAAATGTAGTATCCAGATGTGAATCAGTATGTTCCAACTGCTGTTAGTTTTCCCAGTCATTAAAATATTGTGATCAAAAGCACACAATGTCTCAGAACCATAAACCTTCTCCAAAATATAAACACACATGATCAGACTCAACAGAGTGACATAGCAAAACGCTACCTGTACGATTGTCCTCAATATCACTGGTACAGACAAAAGCACGTGCTGTACAGTTATACACCATCACTGTTTACTGCTCGTACAAGACGTTTTGGTCTTATCCAGAGCTGGGATTCAGTGTGACCATTAGCCACCAGGAAAAAAGTAGAGTTCCTTGGTGGAAGTAGTTGAAACGGAAGAGGGTTTTACATGCACTAATAAAACAGGTAACAAAGTTAAAAAGGTGAAGGTCCCACCTTACAGTTAGTGCAGTTTTTGCTCCAGATCAGGAAACCGGCGCACTGCGTTTCACTCCTGATATAGTCGTCCTGGGGAGGGACAGCAGTTACTGTGACTGACCTCAGGGCGACGATGTAAGGGTCACTGAAATGAAAGCAAAATAAGAATCTCACTTTTATTAATTAACTTTTTCATGATCAGTAATGTAGTGTTTGCCTTACTTCAATGTGCACTTCATTTCTTGGTAATATTTTTTTTAAATAAACATGATTTAAACATGGCTAAATCACAGTGCAGTGTAGCTCAGTGTCAATTATATATTATAAAGTGTTTGACAGATTTGTAATTTGCTAACTACATGTGAGATCTGGAAAAAATTCACTAAAAATCTACAGAAAATTATGACATGATGAAATAACTTAGAAAGAGCCACTAGGTGTCACTGTTCCTCTATTAAATGACGTTGTTTGACATTGACTGCAGAATACAGCAGGGTGTAAACAGTATGTGTTCTCTGATTCGTAAACATTAACCTTCAAATTTGGATTAAATGTCCTTCATGAGAGATAAAAGTCACCTCATATAAACCCAAATAGAATGCATTATAATGATAAGGACAGCTCAGTGTGGCATCTGCCCTTAAAACAGGGCGATGCTTTATATTAGCCTCAGGTATGTTGACACTGAGCTACATTGTTCCATGACACATTGTTCCATGTACATTGGCACCATGTGCTTCCAGCAAGAGGCACCAGGATATAACAGGAACTCCTGATAGACTAGTGCTGTTGACAAAATAGCAACATGGAGGAACACATTTACTGCGACTGTTTACTTTGATCAGATTCTTTAACTTCACCAGACGAGCACCTTTTGGACAGGGTCTTCTTTAACATGAACTCATAAGTCCTACTATGATTTAAAGCAGTGATTTTAAAAGTGGGTTTGTTGTGTGCACATTAAGTTCCCGTTGTGTTGTAGGGTGCCGTGCTCTCTGTACCCGTCTTTGCAGGGCTGTCTCTCGGACAGTAGAAACACAAAGTCCCGTCCAGACTCGCCGTTGATGGGTGGACATTTCACATGGTACACCCTCTCCTCCTCGTCTGCTTTCTCTACCTCCTCACAGCTCCTGCAGTGGAGATCGGGGGGTACATAAGAACATAAGCCACCAGGGGGTGTAATACAAATTCGTCTAACTCTGACACCAAGGTGCAATTCAGGACAGTCGACATAACGTTGAATCTACACGTGTTGCAGTGTCCGTCCAACGGGGCATGTTAATTTGCACCTGCATAAATACTGAAAGTCTCCAACGTCCATTTTATATTAGTTATTTGTGATCAGTTTCACTGTATATGTTAAACAGGTATACTTTGCTTGAGATCGTTTTAAAGGTAATTTCTACATTATTTCTGATTGTGTGTATAGAAGCTCTGTTCCTGAGGGCAGGGGCACTGTAAAAGGGGTGAGAGTTCAGACCATCCCAGGCGCCCCAGAGTGACAGCAGGGGAGAGCCCAGACCTGAGGGCTTCGGGGGGGGGGGATCTCCCCAGGGGAAATTTTTTCCCTCATGTGTAGCAGCTATTCCTGAACATTCAATGCTTAAAAATCTGTACATCATTTGGGAAAAACATGGTAGATGCCGTCAAAATTATTTTAAAAACCTAAAAGATTCAGGGCGTTTGAGAAAATATTCATGTCTGGAGCCCCAGAAACGTAATCCATGAAGATATTTCTCTCAGATGAGGAGCGGTAGATCTGGCCAATGGGCAGCTTACAGGTAGTGTTGGTCCCACTGTGGGCGCAGACAGAGGTCTGACAGGAGGGAGAAGGCGTGGAAGGCTGGAGCGTGGACGTCCATCTCCACCCTCATGCACAGAGAGTCCTGGTCGTCGTTCACGGACACGGTGACCTGCAGCCGCAAAGGAAAGAAGAGGAACATCAGCGAAGACTTCTGTCTATTTCCTGCAGGAAGCTCTTTACTGGGCTTTTGAATTAGTTAAATAAGTTACATTATTACAGTAACTAAAATGAGTAAAAGGGCAGTTTATTTTGGATTGGTGGGCAATGGAGTATAGTGGCATATACTGTATATACAGTTATATAAAGGTATATAAGGCAATATGCTATCCTTTCTTTATACAAATGCACATAGCATAGGTGTGTGGTTCTGTTACCTTGTTGCTGATGCTGCTGGCTTGCCAGTCTTTCTTTGCAGCCAGGATGGTGAGAGTCGCTACGTTGTTATAGCCCAGGTAGACCTGCAGAGGGCACAGTGGAGTTCTTCCATGAGTCCAGATGTTCCAGTGACCTAAGTTTGGTTCCAAACCCAAACTTACACATACCCTCTTCTGAACATGTAGGTATAGCAACTTATGTTGTCTTACAAGCATCTAATCATGCAAATGTGAGCTGTTTCCAGCAAATTTTCCAAACAGCATATCTTTCGCTCTACATCTCCCGGTTTCTGAGATACATGTCACAGGAGGGAACTTTCAGTTGAAATCGCGCTTGCGGATTCTGTGTCAAAAGGCAGAAGCATTGTGACATTTAGAGATGGGGAGTGACACGACAGGAAAAGGTCAACAGAAAAACACGCATATCCAAAAAGTCACAGCCTTGCTAATTAACCTTCCCTGGGTTTCGAACCGTCTTATAGATGTAAAGGGCATGGCCATAGATGTCATTTACCTGATTGCCTTTATCCCACGGAACCGACAGGGGCCCTTCGTCTTTGCAAGATAAGAGGTGCTTCCTGCAATGACAGACCGTGTTTTATTGGTGCACAATTAAAGAGGGCATTGGCCTTCTCTAAATAGGAAAATATGGCCACATTAATTTCTTCAAGGACAAAGAATATAGCCTGCAGGAGAGAATAAATACTTTTAATGATCAGACGCTCCATTGTTCTACTTGAATCATGCACAACTCATAAAGCAATAAATAAAGCTGAGCTGTGCATCTTCCCAGAAAGAAATCATTATTAAATGTGTTCAAACTCAAAGTCAAGCATATTTCATTATTATTCCTGTACATTAACAATTAAAAAAAGTTCAAAGGTATTTTGCAGGATAGTGGATTTATCACACTCAATTGTATTGTGCCTTTGCAAACATTTTATTTGATTTAACCAGCTGCTTGGATGTTTGAGTAGTGCAAAGGTTTTATTCTCTTATTAGTTGAAAAAGCCTTCACACTTCATGGAGTGATGTGAACAGTACTCAGTCATTTTGTGTGTGTGTGTGTGTGTGTGTGTGTGTGGATTAGGTTCATATTACATTGTGGAGAGCAAATGTCCCCCACAACGCACAACGTAATAAAACCTGTTATTTTGACATTGTCAAAGATTTGTGAATGCAGTCAAAAAAGTAAAAATGCCAAAAATCTCATATTTTGTTTGGTTACTTATGATTAAGGTTAGCGCTGGGTAGGGGTTAAGGTCGTCATTGTTGGGATTGTTGCCCATAAAAGTAAAAGATAAAAATTCACGCAATGTGTATATGTGTGTGTGTTTGTGTGTGTATCTGTGCATGTGAGTGTGGTGGTGGGGGGCAGGTGGGCACTGCACCTGGCCAGGCGGATTCTCCTCCTCACTATGGCTGCACGGTGTCTCCTCTCTCCATCCTTGGAGGATAAACAGGGTCAGTTTGGTTATGCTGTGCTCACACACATGTCAGTGAACATGATAAAACATGATCATACTTCTGACAAACAGGAAGAAGTACAAAAGATAAACAGAGAGTGCTTAATGCTGTTAGTGCAGTTCTGGCAGATACATGGGGGGTCATTGCAAATACAGGTGTTATGTAAAATGCAGTGAGAAAAAAAAAGGTACAAAGGAATGTAGCTGTTCTGCTGCAGAATAAAAAATTACGTTTTTTCAATCGTTGTTCAATGATTTAAATGGTGTCATTGCATTCCTGGTGAGTATAACTGAAGCAGTAAATGATTGGTTGGTAATGAATTATATGCAGCATTGCAGCACTCTGATGAATATGCCAACTGAGGCCTACTGTACCTTTGTGGTGTAGGTGACTCTGGGGAAGCTGTGCTGCTGTTCCTCGTCTGTGTGGTAGATGAGGAAGGCGCTGTTGATGTGTCTGGGTCTCCCCTGGTTCCATTCCTGGCAGTTATAGGCTTCCACCTTCACTCCCACCTCTGCACTGTTAAGCCAAAGAAATCACACTAATGATGGGCATCGTGACCCAGGTTCAGCGGTAACACACAACCTCTGCAAATGACAGCGGGTTCACACCTTTAAACAAATGCACCCCACAAATACCCGAGGGAGTTTTACTTCCGCAAAAATGTTCTGAGGGCAGAATGAAGAATGATTGATTCAGAGTGATAACCAATCCAATTGCAGAGGAGGTGGATGCAAGCAGCTAGTGGAGGTGGGACCAACTAATCAGATCTCTTGGTCCCGCCTCCTCTAGTCCCTTGGACCCACCTCCTCTAAAATCTGGTTCTCTCTCTGAACCAATTATTTTTCGTTCTGTCCTTAGAACGCTTTTGTGCATGTAAAACTCCCACAAGCCCACATTATCCGATGTGTTACATTTTGCACAATTTAAAACTAGTTTACTTCAGTCAAAAGAAACACATTTTTTATCCAAGACTATCAATCAAACCGTACCTGGGCATATCGGACAATACACTATCACATAGTGATCTATAAATATGTTGGTATGGTAATGGTAAATGTAAAAGTCACTGTGGTTTGATGGGATTGGGTGGAGATGTATGATGGCACCATTGCTCAGTACCTCGTTCCAAAGACGTTGTTAACCATGGCCTTGAACACCAGCCTGTCTCCAACGGTGGACGGACCCCGGAATTTAAACATGTCCACGGCCCGCAGGGTAGGGAAAGTCCCACATAGGCGACTAAAGAGGAAAGGAGTAGGGTTAGGGTTAGGGACGGGGTGAGAATAGGGTTAGGGACGGGGTGGGGATAGGGTTAGGGACGGGGTGGGGATAGGCAAGCACCAGGTAGTTAAGTGGAAGCACTCTTGAGAAATATAGTTTTTATTCAACATCACCTAAGTAAACATCTTCCCGTAAATGTAAAGTTCTCAAGTTTTATTGAAGTCTCAAATTTTTGTTGTCATGTTTAGAGGAACACAATGAAATTGTGATGCCACAGTTGCAGGATAGGAGACAGGTACATGGAGAGACAATAGCACAAACTAGCGCAATATAAGAGAAGACAATGCAAGACAAGAGAGTGCAATATAAGACAATAAATAAGCAATAAATAGGTGGTGCAATATAGGATTTATATAAGATTAAAAGAATGTAATAATATTAGGGATATTGCTGTTGTACCTTTGAGTTGGTACTTGGCTAATTATTTGAGCTCAAAAAAATCATCATCAACCCCTCCTGGTCCTTTATGCATACAGCACCTCTGTTTAGCTGTATATTTATTGTCATTTATTGTATTTATTATATTTTTATCTGTAAAACTGTGCCTGTCTGTCCTTACACCAGCAAATTCAGTATCCAGGTAAAACGCTTTGTGCATGTTTGTGCTTGGTAAATGAACCTTTACTCTGAGTAGACATGCTTTCTATATTTAGCTGGACGACTGGAGTGTATAAGGTATCATTAAATCTGGTATTCAGGTAAGCGGTGTGTGATATACGGGTTAGCAGGAAGCAGTGCTGCGCTTGTTTTCATTGGGCCGGTGATTTGTTTAACTGAAGGGGTGTGCTGAAAGCAAACAAAGCATCGTGTGAGCAGATGAACACCCTGTATAAAATCAGTGCCGTGAAAGACATACATTTAAACTAAAAAAAGATCGTAACACCTTCTATGAATGCCATATCTATGTATAGTCTGCTCACTAAGAAAACCTTGTATCTGCAAAGTCATGGTTTTTCATGAGATACAAAAAATTGATTTTCCTGTCCAATTTTTCCCCGTAGTTCATGACTTAAGAAAAATAAATATAAAGAAGTTAGATTTGAATGCATAACTTATATCAGTTTAACAAATGTCATTGGAATAAATAAATGGGCTAAAAACTAAATAAGACACTCAAGTTTAAGCCATGTATTATGGGATGGTGCACAATATTACGTGGTCATTTATTGCACAAAGGAAATAATAATACAGTGTACATGCATGCATGCAGTGCCCTAGGATACTCACTGACTTAACAGAACTTGTAAAAAATTTAAATTTGAAAGTTCATGTTTACCTCAATGGTTCATCTATGACCTACAACATTACAGAAACAATATGAGTGTATTGCTTGTCTTCATTAACAGTGCATACATATCTAATATAGCAAATGTGGACGGAATGGACCCAAGAGACATGTGCCTTGCAGATACATGGCTGTCCTGTTAGCAAAAAAAAACAGGAAATCGGATACAAGTTTCACCTACATCACTTCCTTTTAGATTTCTATTGGCTAGTCATTTACGGCTTTTCACAGAAGAAAATTTATGATTTTCTAATGTGTAGTGCACCAAAAACCTGAAAATCACCAAAACTGCAGATACTAGGTTTTCTTAGCCGACAATGTACCATTATAATGCATTATGAAGGTATTTATAATGCATTACAGATAACGGCTTTAAGGAAAGTGTTACCATGATGGACATTTCCTTAAAAAAATCTTAGGTGTCCATCACTTTATGGCTCATGAGGGGTTTTAATCATCACTAAGTGATTATATGATCATTGGTATTGATGCATAAGATTTTTTTTATTTGTGCAAGTCCATTGTATCTGTATATGTTATATATTAAGTATATGTTAGGCAACCACCCTTCAAAATTTTCTAACTGGTTAAATCTCAATATGACACAGATACCGTATAAGTATAAGCATTAACAAATGCTTATGACTGAAGACTAACATCATAACCTTCAAGGGGTAATTTGGGTCACCTGGCTGCAACAGAGGCAACATTCTCCATCCATGACATAACCTGCCCGCCAAAGGTGTTGCCGTGGTGATTCGCATTGGGTGGCAGCACCAGCTCAGTGCTCTCCACCTGAGTCATCTCTGTAGGCTTCAGGGGAAGGCTGTCTATTCCGCTGTGGAGACCTGCCGTAACACACAAAGGTCATGCACCTTTAGCCTCACAATGCACACTGTGTAGGACCTCAGCTGAATGACAGGAAACATGCAGCTTCTCCATTTTTACCAGCTACAACATCTCAGCTGTCTTCCCTATGGCAACCATAACAACTAAATAAAATTCAAATGAAAATAAAATAATGGAAATATACTGAAGAAAGAACTTTTGGCAACACTTTCTATGAATGTCTATAGGAATCTCCAAACACATTCATAACACATTATAATGCATTCATAAAGCATTATAAACACGGCTATACATATTTATAAAAAGGCATATAGCCATTATAGCCATGTTGCATTATGACACATTATGAATACTTTATGAAGCACTCATCTATAATGCATTATAGATTCCAATGCAAAGCATCCTTAATGCTTATACTGAGCATTATAATACATTACTAAAGTATCTATAGTGCATTACAGATGAGAGCTTCATAGGAGCTTATGAAGTATTATAATCAACACCACAACGCCTACTGATTGTCAGTAGAAGTTGCTGTAATGCTTTATTAATTCTTATTCTAACCATTATAATGAATTATGAATGTTTCATTAATGCATTATAGATGACAGCTTCAAGTAAAGTGTAACAGAATTTTTCTGAAAGAATATATTAGTTATATCATGGAGGACAGGGCTAAAATACGCTATGATAAAATGGTGCGTATGTAATGCCGTATGGAGGAATGTGTAGATCGTCATTTCTGCCCAGGTGGACAATCATCCTGCATACTCACCAACTCCAGCAAAGACCAAGGGCACAGACCAAGGGCCAGTGATGACACGTGGGAGCTGGTTCAGTCAGTGCCTTTGCAAAGCTCTTGCTTTGTATGGGTGGGGGGGGGGAAAGGGATGAGGCGAGTGACGGAATGAATTTTGTTTGTACCCTCATGAGCGGTCATGCTGTCGCCTGGCTGACCCTGGCTGCATTCTTTCCAGTGTTAGACATGGACTATGTGCAGATTTGCATCTTTCCTGGCCCTCGTTCCACTGGTCACCTGTTTTTGCGCGACCATGGGTCCAAGAGGCCTGGCAATAAGTCAAGCAATTATTCCATCTCCTCTTTTAACTCTGCTCTTAGATTCCTAGTAAAAGCAATGATACTACTCTACTGTGCGCAACATGGCTAGGATCTCATGACCAATGAATTCGTGATTAACTAGGCTTAGCGTATAGATTTTTATCAACATGGTGATTATTTGAGGGTTGAGGGTGACTTCAAACCCCCTCTAATATGTATCTATTTCAGTTCTCTCTGCTTCCTGCAGTGCCGCTCACCCACCCTCTTAACCCTACGCCCTACAAGAGGAACTGGGGAACAGCTGACCGTTGCTATTTAGGATGTGGTAATCCTGCATGAGTTTGGCGAAGGCTCCCTGGTTGTAGAGACGGAGTCTGCGTCTCTCGGATGCCAGCGAATGCTCTAGCTGCTCCTCTGCAGAAACGGGGACGCTGACCAGTGTCAGGCACACCTGCAAGCATGACCGCGCAGTGTGGTGAGCAGTGTAGCTGCATAGGGCTTCAAGGGCTCTCCAAATGAATGAGGTCTATCTCACCTTCTTAGATCCAGTGGGTTTGCCCACGAATGTGGAGAAAGCCAAACAGACCTTCTTCTGCATGCCACTCAGCACGTCCTGTACAGACACGTGGATGCCGACCTGCACATATCAGATTTTATTGTTACATCATGCAGTTACAACAAGGACGCTTTGTGTCAAAGGGCTGTATATAGTTTATACCAGAGGTGGGATAGTCTATTTCAGGTATGAGATGCATGTGCACGTTTTCCAGTCCATTTCATGGATGACATGCATATGCACATCTTCCAGTCCATTTCAGGTATGAGATGCATGTGCACGTTTTCCAGTCCATTTCAGGCATGACATGCATATGTACATCTTCCAGTCCATTTCAGGTATGAGATGCATGTGCACGTTTTCCAGTCCATTTCAGGCATGACATGCATATGCACATCTTCCAGTCCATTTCAGGCATGACATGCCTATGCACATCTTCCAGTCCATTTCAGGTATGAGATGCATGTGCACGTTTTCCAGTCCATTTCAGGCATGACATGCCTATGCACATCTTCCAGTCCATTTCAGGCATGGCATGCATATGCACATCTTTCAGTCTATTTCAGCTACTGATGAAAGTACTCCAGTAAATGATTCTCTTTGTATTATTTTTCCTAATCAATGCCCACAAAATGCATGTAATGTAATTGCGTCAAGTCTTCAAGGGGAACATTGAGGAAAGCCAGAAATGTGAATGATAAAAACAGAGATCATAAACGTTGTTTTATTAACATGACTAAAACTACGCAGGTCAGACATACACGAATTTAACCTGAAATTACAAAAAGATGGGCAAACACTCACATAAATACTAGTTATTTGTCAACCAACACAGTAAAACATCTAACACCTAACAATTATACAAGTACACAAGTTAACACGATTTAGCTGAAAAGTATATATTAATACAACTGTAGAGCAAAGCTAAATATTACAAAAATAAAATATTAATATTAAAATGTTAAACTGTGCAATAATAATGAATTACAAGACCCTGTACATCTTGTTAAAATGGCATTTAAGGTAGCTAAGGAGTAGGACTATGTGTATATACTCTACTATCCACCACAAAGTGGGTTTGATAATTCTAGCAGGAGAGCAAGGTGGGATATGAAAAAATGCCATGTACCAGTACTTGTACAAATAAAAAAAAACTCATCTTATGCAGTGAAATATTATGTGTAATTTGTAACAGTGACATTTCTGTCATCAATGTCTGTAGTTATTATTACAAGTCTATTAATATCTCGTAAAGGCTTCAGTTTTGCTTTTGAAAATTATATGAGAGACATACTGAATGTAAACTAAATGTAAATCAGTAATGCAATATTGTTTCTAATCCTTCACATTTGTAAATGTTTATGCAAGTCTTTAATAAGTTTTCTCAGGGCTGTGTGCAATGTCTCTACAGATTTTTGACATTAATTACATGCATACATCTATAACATCTAACCGTCTATTTAACAAGCTTGCCTTTTGTTGCTGTGCACCGTTTTAATGTTTCATGAAAGTCCTTTAAATATATGAGCTCCATTATCTTCGACAATTCACGGCTGCCTGACCTACCTCCATGCTGGTATTGAAAGATCGGTTTACTTTGGCTCTTATGGTTATTACTTGACCAACCCTGCGAAAAGAAAGACAATAAGACTTCAGTGGATTAATGAATCAGTCTACATTTCTTTTATTTCAGCTTGGTAAAGAGTAAAAGAGAGAGAAATACCTCACTGTCTCTTCAAACTGGATATCATCCATGGAGGCTGTGACGCATGCAATTCCAGCATGCTTCTCAGCTAAAGAAACAGAAAAGGTAAACGTGAATTGTGCAAACTGGCAAACAATATGTGGAAGTGTATTTCAACAAACAGAACTTATAATAATTTGAGTGGAACATGGTAAAAATTACCAGGACCATTTGGAATGGTGTAGTAACCCGCATTTTCTCAAAAATTTCAAGTATGAATAATTTTGGACATGGCATTTTTTGTAGATGTAAACAAAAAAATAATAATTTATATTTCTAGCATAATGTATTACTTTCTTTTGTCACATAACATATTTGGCATTGGGTACAAATACTTTTGGGCTTAACTGTACATACAGCATGTCAGAACAACTTGTGACAGTGTACTGAAATGCTGACAATGCTGTTATATGTTATATGTCTCTCATAATGACCTCTCATAACACCTCTTGTGTTTTCCCTGAGGATTCCAGGTATTCTCCCTTATTCATGTTGTTATAACATGCAGTTAGACAAGTTGGTGTTTCAAAATTGCCTGTAATGTTTCAGTATACAGTCAAACCTCCCTTATCCAGGCAGAATGGGATCGAGGGTTCCCCGTAAGTAAGAGATGCCCGTAACTTAGAAATACATGAACAGTACAGTACAACGTACATGTGTGCAAATACAAACTACCTGATATTTATGAGGTGCAAGGCTTATAATAGGGTGTTATTTCAGTCTGAGCTAGCGAATCATCCCGTTTTATTCTTGCAGTGGTCATCCAGTTTTTAACCAACATCAAGTGAGCAGGATGATTTTTCTTTACTCTTCCAAATATCGCCTACCGTAGACTTTAGCCACTGCAAAATGGTCTGCAACACCTCTGTGTGATTTTGCTTTTCGTATCTCGGTAATGATATCGAGCTTCTTTTGGAGGGACATGACACTACGTTTCCTTCTTGAAGCCATGGATTTTGCGCAGTGTTACGTGCCGCTGTAAGTTCAGCTCCGCCCACAGCCTCGTCCACTAGCTCTCTCTCCATTCGACGTTCGCTCCGCCTCCATGTGCAGACTCCGCCCACGACTCTCTGTATGCGGCATTTGTCACTTCCGTTTTCCAAAGTGAAAAGCCGACCGCAAGACATCTCGGGAGCTCTGCTCACATTTTTTTGTTGGTTTGATTTTCTTTGATGGGTATTGCTGTGTATGATTTGTTTGGTTCATTGCATTTCTGATTTTCGCTTTGCCCTTTTTCATTCCATGGCCAGGACAGAATCTGCACGTTTCCTCCTGGAAACTCTGCGGTATCCCAGTAGAGATCTTTCCAGGGAATCTGAGGAATGTGAAGCCCCTGAAACTGGAACACGTCCTCTGGTCTCCTTGCTTAAGGGTTCACCACCCCAGTCTGCCAGTCCAAAGGCACTGTCCCCGATGTCCACACAATGTTGAAGAGGCATGTCATAAGACAGCCCAACAACAACAAGAGCTTTCGAGAACTCAGGGCAAATCTCTTCCACCACTGGAGCCTTACCACCAGACAGTTTTTTGACTGTTTCAGTGACTTCAGCCCCAGAGACGGGCAAGTCCCCCTCTGAGTCCTCCAGCTCTACTTCCTCCAAGAAGGGCATAATAGTAGGATTCGGGAGATCCTTGAAATATCCTTTTCACCGCCGGACTATATTCCCATTTCAGGTCATCAGTTCTCCATCTCTGCTCTAAACAGCATGGGTAAAGCTATAAGTAGACCCACTCCAACTTGGTGCCTCTCACCATGCGCAACTCCAGAGTGGAATAGAGTTTGAGAGCCTGATCCATGCGTTGCAGTGAGCCTGACTACATCTAGTCGGTGTCTGTATATCCTCCACACCAGCTCAGCCTCCGTTCCCACCAGAGAGGATACATTCCATGTGCCAAGAGCCAGTTTTGGTAGCTGACGATTGATTTGTCGAGGTTCCTGCCTTCGCCTGCCACCCTATGTACACCTCATCCAACCCACCCGACTCCCCTGCAGATGGTGTGCCCACAGGAGGGTGGACCCATGTTATTTATTTGGGCTATGGTTGGCTGGGCCCCATGGGTGGAGGCCTGACCACCAGGCGCTCAGATCTGAGCTTCCCCCCAAGCCTGGCTCCAGGGCAAGACCCCGGTCTCCCTAATCTGGGTGGAGTAACATGGTTCATTATATTTTTCATCATGTGGGTTTTCTGAATCGCACTTAGTCTGGTTGCTCACCTAGAACCAATGTCCTTGGGAGACCCTACCAGGGGCAATTGCCCCCGACAACATAGCTCCTTTGATCATAGAGGCAAACAGACCTCTCTACCAGGATAAGGTGATGATTCATGTAGGGGACAAACATATAGTGCAAGACAAGATGAACTGCGAAGACAGTACACATAGTGCAGATAGCTCTGGACTATTGCATTGTCAAAGATGGATGATTCCTGGCGTGTTATGCTTGGGGATGGGGGGTGTCTGGAGGAGGTGTTGTAGTGTCTGATGGCAGTAGGTAGGAGGGATCTACTGTAATGCTACTTAGCACAAAATTATGTGGACACCCCTATTAATTAGAGGAATTGGCTAATTTAGTCAAACCCATGGCTGACACAGGAGTATAATTAGACACACAGCCAATGCAATATCCAGGAACAAACAACAGTAGTAGAACGGGCGGCCGTACAGATGAGGTTCGTGACTTTCAACTTGGTGCCATCATAGGACACCATCTTTCCAACAAGTCAGTTTGCCAAGTTCCTGCCCTGCTAGAGCTGCTCAGGTCAGCGGCAGGAGAAGTCAGGGTGAAGTAGAAATGTCTGGGAGCAGGTATGAAGTGGCCGACTAAGGCATAGCCTTGTTTATGAATGAGATGTTGGAAAAGCTGGTGCCAACATGCTACACATAAGATCAATGTTCACTCATAGCGTATTGTAGAGATGTCACATTAGTGTTAATGGTGGAATAAAACCAGTCTCCAGCCGGGCAACTCTTTGGATAGAAAATGAAAGTAAGGGAATTTCAGACAAGCAGGACATTGTAGTTCTAGCCAAGTGGTGATGTGTTTAGTATGGAAGATGAATTATAAGCTCACCATGGATTCTAAAGCAATGCCAGACTTCACAGCTGCATTCATTCTTGTGAAGTGTATACAGTACGTGGTTATTTTACCCACAACTCAAATAACTGTAACTTTAATAACTGTAAAATGCAACTTTAGTTATTATTGGTTTTAACAGTAATATTATGTTTTCAAAAATGCATGGACACTATCTGAGTTTGACCAACTAACTTAACTCTTTGTGTCATTAATATGTAGAATACAGCATGCAATCAGGGGCTAATGCTAATTACATTTTTTTATGGTGCTGGAAAAGGCAGATCCTTAATAAAACTTGTCTTCATTGCTACAGCTGCCTCACAAAATCCCTCATCCCCTGCATGTGCGAAAACATAGATATCATTTCTGCTACCATTTGATCTTGTGACAGGCAGATCAGTGGCACAGGGGTTGTCGACTTTTGTCATCGACATCACAGGGCTCAACTCTATCCATTACAGAGCTGTCACACTGGCAGCACATCAGTGGTACAGCCAGTGGCAACATCAAGTGCGGTTTGCCCGCTAGTCAAAACTCCGTGTACGCAACGTGACCTACACTCACTGACAGACATGAGAACATGGCTTTGTTCAGCTGTAGCCAATCAAAATTAGTATCAAGATTAATACAGCAATCTAGGACCTTTCCATTTCCCAAGATGTCCAATGAACAGTGAGGACAAAATATCTGCTAAAGACAGAATCAAGCTTGCTATAATACTTTAATAGTGTGTACTTACGGTTCCTAATTTTTTCTTTTAATCTAAATATATTGTGGGAATGGGAAAATGGGACGTCTTCACCATTTGGGTCATGTGAATTTTCTTGTACTGAACTGCACTCCCTTTGAGAAGATGCTCCCCTCTCCTCATGTGAAGAGCCTGTTTACCAACAGCTAGCGCTTAGTGCCTTATCAATATTTTATCTCTCCAACTGCAGTAGAGAAAACCCCTGATAGCGTGAACTGCTGTGAGAGGAGAGAACAAACGTAAATCATTTATGACTCCTGCAGTCTGAAAGGTCCATTGGAAACTGAATATATCTTTGCTAGGTGATGAAAGCCCGGGTCTGGGTGAAAGGTAGCTGTGTTGGTTCTTTTTGCTGGGAAAAAAAAAGTCATCCAAAGGTTACCGTTCTTGATAAGAGCTTCAGAGATCTATACTTTGTGGGCCAAGATGCTTATTAAGCTATGCTACTTGTTAAGCTATTCTGCGAATGCACTGCATGCACATTATGTTTGGGTTATAATTAGAGATGGGCGATCCACATTTTTTCAGTTCCGATTCGATTCCGATACACAACTGCTGATACCGATACAGATTCCGATACAAGAGCTCTTTTTACTTTGTTATACTTTATATATTAATTTTTAAGCTAGTAAATACAGATGGAAAAAATGTATGACAAAAAATATTTAATTAGGCTACTACAAACATACATAACGTACTGTTCCACCTCGTTTGTTTTAAGCGTTTTTGAGGTATTTGCAGTTCAATATGAATATCTTCAAAGCATGCAAGTATACACAAGTGGCGAATGCTTAAAATTTTCTCCCGTTGGCATCAGCGCAGTTACACTTTTGTTGCGATGGCAGCCCCTCTTGCATCACAAGCTGTTGCGAGTTCGCAAAACAGTCCAATTAAGTTAGCGACTCCCAAATCATCCATTGCTTTGTTTTGTCTCACAGTTGCGTGTGCTTTGTTAAATGGGATTGTCCATTAAACGCTATTCCCACCTCAAAATTGGTTTCTGTTAAAAGCGTTTCTATGCTAAAACTAAATAAGTACGTACTGTATAGGACATGGATCGGTCACACATGGCCGATACCCGATCCGTCAAATAGGTCTGGATTGGTGCCGATACCGATCCGAATATCGGTATCGGTGCATCTCTAGTTATAATGTGCTGCCTGCCTGCTTTCGGCCTGCCCAGAGTTCTGGCCACTTTCCAGCTGCATCGTTCGAATGGCCCGTATCTGTTGGGATTTCAACCTGCAACCTGAGCTATTTTAGTGCATAGGCCTACTGTCTAAAAGTATTGCATGACTGGAAAGAGCAAGGTATATCAAAATATTTCATTATTCAGTATACAACCAGTCCTTATATGTAACTTTATTCCATAAAAACAAACAAACAAACAAGTAAAAGAATATTGCTCATGAAAGCCTCCCAGACAGACCGTGTGCAGCCCCAAAGTGTATAGGGAATGCAGTGTTTACTTCTGGCTTTGAAAAATGGTTGACTTTTCGAATTATGATTATTGTTCTACTTCAGTGAAGACAAATGCTCACGATTTGACATTTAATCATGTACGAATTACTGGAGCGGCTCAACAAAGAGGAAAGGGTGCCACACGGAGCACAATAACTCTCCTGAATCTGCTTTAGCAATCACATGATTAGCATAACTTTTATATAACGTTCAGTCAATATGCAGCTATTTTCCAGTTTTAAAAAAATCAGCTTCAGTTCAAAGCTGCAGCTTACATTATTCCAATTTACGATGAACAAAATGAAGAATAATCTGGTTTTGGGAATGGCTTCCATCTGCCACACCACCTCCTGGATGAGATACCCACCTGCTAGACATGCGGTGGTGTCCATCCACTTCAGTAGCTGCCCGGCACCCAGATCGCCCCGGTGGTTGGCATGACAAGGCAGGACAGCCTGGCACATCTGGACCTCTGTCTGGCGCCTGGCTGCCCCCTTAATTAGCGGATCCTGCCCGTCGGGCTTGTGGGCCCCGTCCAGCATGGCTCCCCTATGCTTGTTCTCTAAGCGCTTGTATACGGTGTATTGCCCCCTACATGCGCCTGCTTCTTATCTACAACATTCTGCTAACTGTGCCAATAAACACGCCAGGAAATGCGAGTCCTGCTCAGACCCAGCCAACGGGGAGCAGGGGTAGGGACAAGCCCACCGACAGTGCTCAGACCCAGCCAACGGGGAGCAGGGGTAGGGACAAGCCCACCGACAGGGAACTGATTGGCCTTTCATGCAACAAGTATTACATAATTATGTACAGTACAGTGCATTTTCTTATACAAGTTGATTACTTTTTATTACTTCACCTGATTTTGTGCTGCGGATTCACACTGCTGGTCAGATGCTGAAATTCTGTTTTTTGTAAAACCTCAAACCAGATGACCACTAATCACATATTGGTCACCCAGCTAGAATTCTGACCATCTCATATTATGTATAAGCCTGGATGGTCTTACATAAACTCACTGATCTATGAATTTACATATTTTTTTCGGAAGCTATATCAAACAGCAGAGATGTTGCTGTAGCAGGTGTTCCCGTTTTCAGTCAGCGAAACAACCTGCTGACTGATTATCAAATCAGCTTTTGCCATCAGCTGCCTGGAACACAACAGGCCTTTTTAAAGAGCAAATGGCGAAGGGAAGCACAGGGCGCCCAGTTGTGTTCAAAGCCGCTGCTAATGACCTCTTAGGGCTACACTGCATGTAGCCACATGTGGAAAAAGAACAGACCGTCACAGAATTAACACACAAATGCATGTATTGCAGGAAAAATCCCTTTGCACAAGAAACTTCAGTCAAGAGGAACAGTAATTTCAGTTGAGCTTTGAGCCAAGTAACATTAAAAATAAAACACAAAACCAAACAAAGCTGAGCCCTATGTTCTTACAGAGGTATGGAATTTGAAATCCATGCAGGAACACATTGTAAATTTATAATCTTTGTTGGTCAACAACTGTTTATTAATGCCCATTTATTAAGCCATGTTTTTAAAGGCAGTAACTGGCTCTGATATCACTTAGTTAATGGCACCTCTGCCTGTTTACGGTCGTGGGCATTTGTTAAATCCAAAGGATGATAAAAATGTATGTAAAGGAAGAGACTGAGTCACACAAACAGCAGCGCCCAGTAGCTTTAGGAGGGAAGAGAAGCTTTATATCAGTATATTCAAAACCCATATCGTACTTCTCGATGTATTTACAAAAACTCAACACAAGGTTAAAATTAAACACATCACAAATGGCTAAAAAAAAACAAAAAAAAAACTAAAAAACTAAAATGAAAACGATGGCGAGTAAATTTACAAAAGTCTCTCTCGTAACTCCACCACACAAAATTTGACGTAAAAAAGTAGATACTATTACAATGGTAGTAATGCTAAAAAAGCAAACATCTCCGTTTTTTAAGATACTTATTAAATAATTCACAAAAACACAGATGAATTTCAAAGCTAAAAAATGACAACTGCTGCATAAAAAGATCAGAGAGGACAATACAATTCACAAAACTCAAGCATTTTCATAATGATGATTCATAATTACAATTATCATTGTAAGAACAATGGGCAGTGAATTAAGGTAAGAAAACAGAACAAAGCCTTAATTCCATTCTACCCTACCCCCATCTCCTCCAATTATATAAGCAAAAGAAAAAAAATATATCACAGTTTGTCCGGGTGATGCAACTATTAGGACTGAATGAAAATGTATTGCAGTTTTCAGTTCTGGTTAGCCCCCTTCCCTTTTCCATGTGTGACCTAAATAACCACAACGGCCTCCTCTCGACAACTCAATGTTTTTCCACCAATGAGATGCCCCATTTTGACTTAATTTTTCTTTGTTAATCTAATATATTGAATCAGTGACCAAATTAAATCAAAACAGTTTTACCACAAGTGCTTAGAAATTAAATTTTTTAGAATTTTTGTTCACTATGACGTCAGTGTTGTTACCCTTTCAGGTGAAGCCTGCCACAGGTCTATCATGAAAACAAAGCTATTTAAATGATTGTCATGTTTCCTATGATGAGATGTGACCTTGAAAAAGGCAGTTTTTTTTCTTTTTTCTTTTTTACAATACAACACTACTTATGTTACTTGATTTCCCGTGACCATAACTGTCAGTACATATTCCTTTGACTGAAACAAATACAGCTACAGTAGTACAGAATTCGAAGAAGCACAGCATTGTTTAACATACATAGGAAAACAATTTCATTAAAATCTTTATGAACAGGTATAAGTCAAAGGCAGTCCTCAACTTACAGTAGCTTGTATTACAGCAACTGTACTTATGGCACTCCGTAATATACATCATGTCCTTACTAATCAACCAAATTCTCATAATTGAGAGTGCCTCCCACGTCATCCATTTTTACCTTTTAGAATATTTGAATTTTCAAACGCAATGCAGTAAGTGAGCAGATGAAATGTTATTAGTCTGTTTCCGCGGGAAAACTAAAATAGCATAGTGTCATACAACAGCCCAATATAAATGACAACTACAAACGTTGCATTGTTTAGCTTCAAACAAATACTCATTGTTAAAAATGCTTCCTGTTAAGATTTTAATGAAAATATATAACATTGAATAACCAATGAATAGTAAGTCAATTTACTTACATTACTTTACTATACCCAAGTGAAGGCATTTCAAGACCTAACAATTATCTGCTTTTGGGGCTGGCTAGCTACAGTATATAAAAGAACAATGTATCATTGCTGAACAAAACTATTCAAAATAACCAGCATTTATTTGATAAAACTTATATTACAAAACAGAATGCATGAATGCAATCCAAACATAAGATATATGTTTTTAAAAAGGACTTTTCTCAGCTCTTGGTTTTGATGCTTCCGGTCAAACACACTGAACTATTTAAATATAATCGTACCATGTATTTCTCTGTGCAAAACACCGCCACAGAGTATAACCCTCCTTAAATCACAAACAGTCAATTAAGCATGTTTCGCATTTTCTGTTTGTTGTTTTTTTTTTTGTTGAAAAATTAGATAGCATACATCATTTAGACTGTATCATGTCATGTAAGTCTGAGGACTGCCTGCGTTAGTTTAATTAAAATATACACAATTTACAGGGCTTTTACTGTAATAAAAAAAAAGTTTTTACTAAAATCACATAAGCAATGTTTGGGGAAAAAAATAAATAAGCAAAATACAGGAATGTGTTGCCGTTAAAGCAAGGCCAGCTATAGGATGCGACTTTAAGGATCTAATTCAGAGCATTTCTCCTTTAAAACGACCCCTTTAGTACATGAGTGAGGGCGTTTTAAGCCTGCTGTTTAGACTCTTCCTGTCATGTTCCCCCAGATAAAAGTGTATTGTACTCAACTGATCTCTCAAAATTAAGTTACACAGCAAAATGTGTTCATCTTGAATTTCTTACCTATGCATTCATACAGCCTTTGGAGTGAAAGGAAACCCTATGTTTTAAACAGATGGAGTACGCACATTTGAACTTGTCCCTAGGTTCAGTTTGATAGTGTGGTGCTTAAAATTTGGAAAGGGGTAGTGAGAAGTCTGAGTGGATGCAGCTGAGAGAGGAGCTGTGTCACTCGTGGGGCATCGCGGGGTCCCTGGGCAAGGCCAGATCTAGCTGAGGGCCGTAAGAATCCAGGGGGACACTTGGAAAACTGATGCTTCTGAAATCATTGAAACATGCTTCTAGATTGCACACTCAAAACAAACAAACAAACATTATCTGGATACGGTACAGTACATAAAAATTAAACAAAACATTGCCTTTACATTTTTTTTATTTTACTAAATCTAAGCAATTGCTTTCTCTCTTTTTACCTCTGCTTTATAAACATAATACATAATAATATACATTTAATTTCAAATCAACAAATGATACAACCCCACTTTCTGATTATGTTTTGGAGAAATTTGGAGTGTTTATACAAACTTATAACACGCCGTTCATCCACTTAATGCACCGCATCCTTCTCATGGTTCTGTTCATTATTTCATTAGCTGAAAACCTTCAAACCTTCTCATTCCGCAAATGTTCTCATTACCCACCATTATACACATGAGAACAAACTTTGGAGGATTCAAAAATAGAAATAAAAAAGTGAAACAAATAAAGACAAGACGACCAAGCCTAAAATTAAAAAAAAAACCCCATCGTTACTTGTGAAAGCTTTTCAGATTTTTCTCAGTCCAAGGGTTACACTTCTGTGTGTATATACATGCACATGGAGCAGTGACTATACAGCCACATATATACACAAATAGAAAGTAGAAAATACAAGTAAAACATTGAGTGGTTGACTTTTCAGTCTGCTGTCTTTTGCTTCCTGGGGGTTTGTTTCAGTCTTTGAGTATTAAAGGGGTGGTTAAATCAAACAGTGACAAAACAGCAAACAGAACCAAGGAAAGAGAGGCTTGGACCCACTTTCTCCACTAATCGATGAAGGCCAGTTACAGCGGACTGAAGCACGTTCCTTGTTCCAAAGTTCACTCCAGGAGATGCTATCAGAGGTCATCACACACTCATGGTCATGTTTGGAGAATACTGCAAAGGCGAAGAGGGACGACGTCATCGACTACACACCACGAGAATTTCAACTTGCTATGCTATAATGCATGTATATATATATTTATATATCTAAAAAAAAAGTTTAAAAATCACAAGAATTCACAAAAATAGCATAGCCAAGTTTCAACACAATGTAAAAAAAAAACAGTGCAAACATGCACACAGGGGAAGAGTGGCCAACATACGCTTTCGTTCTGAAAGGGGTTGAGGAAGCTCCCGCCCAGCTCTCCATCATCCCGTGGGGTGCCTGGCTGGTTGCTCATGCTCATGTTGCCAGGAGAGTTCTGTAGAACAAAGCAGAATCATGGGAAATGTAGTACAGTTAAGAGTATTGGCAACTAAGTAATTACAGAGTTATATGCTGGAACATCTTTTGAATTATGGCTCAAGGAAGCTTTGCTACTACAGATAAACAACTATTCTAGAGGACATAACCATCTAATCCAGTTATATACAATATGGGACATTTTCATCATTGTGGTGCCATTCAAAATCTTGAAAAGCCCAGGGACTAGGCCTGCAGGATATATCGCATGCATGAGCAATAATCACATTGCATTTGTCAGCACTGCTTTGTGTCTGTTGACTCAACTCACAGCAACTTATTTAACACACTCTGTTGGGAGATGATAATTTCTATTTGGTTATAGTTTATTTTACGTAATTTCATCTCCTCATTTGTTTTATAGATATCGCAAAGTTACTTGCGGATACTTCACATATTGCGATGTGATATGCAGCCCTACCAGAGACACTGATACAGGAGCAAAAGTGTAACCATTCACACAAATGACATGTAACAGTGCTTTGATCCACAAGACACTACAGCGTTGATTTAGGGCTTAACATTAGTATGGTAAGATGGACGTTTAGGTCAACTAAAATAACTGCTGACTATTGCCACGGCAAATATCTTTCTTTTACACCGAGATTCTCTTCTTGCCACAGAAGCGTCAGTAATGATAGCAGAGAAACCTTTGAAGTTACCCTGCACTCCCCTATGAGCTGAAGCTAGGCCTACAAGGTGATTCCAAATCTTCTAACAAAAAGCCCAGAAGATGGAAAGCTTTGCTGCTGTCTTCCCGGGTGTGTAAAAGATGATGAAAGTTGTCACCTGGAGGCTGTCACTGGGCCTAAAAATGGATGTGCCACTCTGAATGCCAGAGGAGCGAGATCTCAGAGAGGACCTGCCTGTGATTGCTGAGCCTGGACAGGCTGAAAGGGACGTGGAACCAGGGCACCGTGGGTACACTATAGCTATGCTGCACCACACAGAGGTAGCTATGCAGAGGTCATATACTGTACTTCCTTTCTTATTTGTTAAAATTCCCCTTCACTAACATCTATCCATCCATCCATCCATCCTTTAAGCTCTAATCCTGGACAGTGTCGTGGAAGGGTCTGGAGCCTGTCCCACAAGGCTGGAGCAGACCCCGAACGGGTTGACAGTCCATTACAGGGCATGCATACTCATACACACAGTCACAGCAAAATTAGAGGCCCCCGTTAGCCCAACTGCATATCTATGGATTTCAGTAATTATATGGTCTTGTATTTTATACTGTATTATTACTAATTTCTGTTTTTAAACAAACTTCAGTTGCAATACTAAAAAAGGGCTAAATGCAGAGTGTGGATGAATCCAGCCAAATGAAACGTGGGTCTGTTGAAAGCAGACAGAGAGCAGGTGATCTCCTCACCAACCGCATATCCGTCTAGCGGGTGATCTCATCACCAACCGCATATCCGTCTAGCGGGTGATCT